ATTCCCGTGGGTGCATGTAAAATTTTTGTTCGGCAAATCAGACATACGAAAAACCATCTCGGTAATTATAAAATATATAATTTTTAAATTTTTAATTTTACGCAAATAATAAATAAATTAGTATATTGGAATCATTTAATTAATTAAGCCCTAAAACTTTGTAAAGACGACTATAAAATGAGCTCGTCATATAATCGGAATCCTAAGTTTTTGCGATATTTGAAATTCTCAATATAATGTACAGGATGGGATAATTTCGGCGTTTGTAACTATAAAGGATACAAAAAAAAATAATGGCGGCTTCTCGATCTTTTTTTTGAGACAAACGTACGTATTTTCAAAAACTTGCTATCGTTTTTTGTTTTCGAGTTATAATCTATTTAATCCTGTCTCGTTTCGCATTGATGGAAAATCCTTATCTTTAACCATTTGTTAAAGCTATAAAATATGCAAACGATTCGTATATCATTAATGGGGATTGGAAATTCAGCCACAACCATCACAGTGTTGAGGCAGCCGGTACAAGGTTTACGTACAAAAAACAAGATACTACTTCGACTGAAATGATAACAGCACCTGGACCCCTTAATACGCCGGTGGCAATAATGGTAAGTCATTATTTATAGAAAATTATGTCTTATAATGTTTTGAAACTAAATATTCCAAAATAGTTTCGGAAATAACAAAAACCAGGCATTTAATTTATATACATTTGGTATTAGATTTTATTGAATTAGAAATGCTTTGAATTGAAGCATTGTTGTATTTTGTGTGTTATCGTAAAGTCAGAAAAATATTGCTTATCACAAAGTGGTATAAACCCATTCAAAATAGATGTATTCTTCTCTTGGTAACTAGAAATCGATACAGTAGATAAATCTCCAAGGGAACATAAATTTTAAAGTTGCACTTGGATTTTGTGGTTTATTAAATCAAACTTATCCTGCCACTGCAGTGGTACACACTAGACATTGCATCGTGACCATAATTGAAATTTATGAATACATTACTACGAAAACGTGATTCCTTTATCATAAAATCAGGGTTTAAAACAACTAAGCAACGTTTACTCTCTGGTAAAACAACAAAGATCGTGTATTTTGTTGGCTTATTGATTCAGAAAATTTAAAAGAAATAGACCGTTGTTTTTTTATATATGTACAATCTTGGCTTTTCAAAGTTAGTTTCGATTTATCCTAACTTTCGACCAATTTACAACATACCTACGTAAGCAAATTATAAAATAATATAACTAATTCAACATAAAACTCTATTGGAAGTTTCACCAAAGTTTTATTTGAAACCATTCTAAAAAGTTTCGGTCACGCGACCATTTTCAAAGGAAGAGAGTAAATTATATACTCAAGCACTAAAACAAAGACAGCTTTTTGGGGGTCAATAGGCAAATTAAAAAAAAACTGTACCCTGTGACATATAAAATAAAGAGTCTCAATTATATTTTTTTTTATAATTTTAAAATAAATAGTTTAAAAGTTATTTATGAAAATAGATAATAGTATGTCCGAGAGTAACACGGAACCCTTGTAGGATCACTCGTGTGTCTGCCTGTCCATTTTTTTTATTTCTAGTTTTCTAGAAAAGAAGGCTTTTGACTTTTATTAATATTGCTATGTAAGATTACTACATTTTCTTCCCTTAAATTGTGGTTAACGAAGTACCTACAATGATCCGAGAAGCCAGTCTTTTTATCTTTATTACTAATACTACAAATATGTTCTTGTATTCTTGTGTTTATAGAACTCTCACTCTGCCCAATGTAGAGGGCATAGCAAGAATTGCACTTAATTCTATAAATCCCCCTTTTTCCTAATTTCCAATAGTGTTTTTACTTCATTAAGTATATTTCACAAAAGTTGCAATCTACAAAGTGCTAATTTTACTAAATTATTTTTATATTAAATAATTAATCAATAAAAATTAAGAAGAAGAAAAATAAAATGAAATTTACTTTATTTACTAGATTGTTGTTCAACAAATTAACGAGGGTGTAAAATACGACTATTCTCTTCCGATAACTTCGAACGAAATTCCTCAAATTGCACCCCCGTTAGTAAAGCAATCTCCTGTGGTGGAACCGAGTAATTTAGAACCGCGACGATTAAACATCCCCCTAAATTCTAACACTCAAAAGGACGAACCAAAGATTTCTGCTCCTCATAGGCGCCGAGCCCGTAGAAGATTCATATGGAAACACGCGGGATTTTCCCCCTGCACCAAATCGTGTGGTGGAGGTAAAAATTAATCAATTTTCAAAAAAATGAATTCAAAACGTAACATTTCCCTCCCAGGTGTTCAAACCTCAACGTTTATTTGTATGAGAGAACACAACCAAATGGCTGTATCAGAAAGACGGTGTTCAGGTTTGGAAAAACCCGCGATTCAACAGGTCAGATGCAACATTCATTCTTGCCCACCCCAGTGGAAAAGTTCCTGGGCCACGTGCACAGGATCCTGCGGACAGGGTAAAGTCGGAAAACAGTGAGGTCCGCTTATAATGAATATAAAACGTCAAGTTTGAATGTATTTCAATTTCTCGTTTGGAACTCCTGTTTCTGGTTCTAATTATCCTTATGTCTTCAATACCTCCTTTTCCTATTCACGGTATTCACCATGGGATCATCCACGTATAACAATTAGAGCAGTGTTATAAACAAATTGTTTTTGACGTGACAACGTCTTATAATTCGATGGAGCCGGCTGCACGCACGAAAAAACATGACTCATGCGTCGTTACCTCGCTCTGAGGCGTTCCATTTAAGGCTTGAAGTGCAAGCGAGAGCGCGGAACGAGCGACAAAGAGGCACAATCAACCTCCGCGTTCGGCAGCGTTCGACATCTGTCTCTCTCCTACTTGAGTGAGCGAGGCGTCCGCGTGGACAGCTCCTTTTCTCTATATCCATACAAAATATCTATCAAACAAATAAAATTAAAATTTTCTTTTGAAAAATGAAACCATTCCATCAGTATTTTCTTATGACGTTGTCACGTTTAACTATCGTCAGTAAACCGACTTTACAGACAACCGATTTTTTTATACAGTCAGTAATCATGCATTATTTCCCATTTTTTAAACTTTCTTACCCCTATAATTATCGCCTTTGAACAACTGACTGTTGTCATAATAGCCAGATTGATTTTATGCAACAATACGTCGCTATAAGCGATTGTACATAAGTACACTTTAACCAGAAACATTCTCAATAACTTGAAGTATTTGTGTGACAACGAAAGTGTCATTATATGCGGAGTCATTATAAGCGAATTTCACTTTACAATTAGTTAAAACTAATGGACTTACGATGGATAAAATAACAAGATAATAACCCCTAGGAATTCAGCAACTGATTCACAGATGTGAACAAGAAATAGCACCTGGAAAGAGCACGATAGTTAATGAAGTAGGGTGTCCACAGCCTAAGCCCCTTTCGGAAACCAAACAGTGCACCCTGCCGCCTTGTTCCGATACATTCGATAATGAGCTTCAACCCAATATTTCTCCAAGACTTGGAAATGATTTGCAGGAGTGGGCAGTTGGGATATGGTCTCAAGTAAGTCGATCAACTATGATATCAACGTTTCGTAGTATGATGAATATTTCTTCAAAATGCATATACATACGCATAAATACAGTGTGTTCCACGTATATGTTTAATAAAAAAAAACGTTTTTATAAAAGTGGTCCGGAATGATATGGTGCATAAATAGAAAATATTTTCAGTCTACAGGGTGTTCCATTTCTTCTGGACGCTACCTAACTTCGTTATTTTAAATGGAACACCGTATATATTTTTACATTTTTGGTATCTTTGTTTAATTTTAGGTCGACTTTGTTAACAATTCCCTACACCTATCTCTACTAGTTTTTGAGGATCACTTTCATTAAAACATTTTTTTTATTAAATGTATAATAAGGTTATGAACGAACCCGCCTGAAGTGGAACACCCTGTATATGTATAGGATGTCGCATATTTAGGTGATGTTTCGAACCCGGAAAAGTACTGTACACTGTTTTCTATAAAAAATTAGAACACTCGAATATTTTACCCTATTTTAAAAATTTACATTTTAAACCCTTTGGATTTTTTACTTTTTATTATTTATTGCTGAAGAAAACTTATCTCCCTATTTCCACAGTCTTAGAAATACTCCAATTAAGAACATACGTCTACTGCAACATCAAACTATTCTTTTTTAAAATTGATCTAAATCATGTTTATTACCAATCGTCGATTAAATTATTGTTACCGCGTGTCCACAATCGATCTTGTACTTCTAGTGTTCGGCCACCTGTGGATCTGGTCACAAAACGAGGGCGGTAACGTGCCCAAGCGGTCGTTGCAACCCCGAACACAGACCCCCGCATGTCGAGCGTTGCCAAACAAGCCCATGTCCCCCCGATTCAAATACCCGCTCATCCTGGCTCACTTCAGAATGGAGCGAGTGTTCAACCCTCTGTGGAACCGGCACACAAACGCGACAAAGTTTTTGTTTCCAAACGTCTTGCGAAAACGATTTAAAACCCGAAGAAACCCGAGCCTGTTCTACCTACAAACTATGCAACGGTCAATGGTTCACTGGTCCCTGGGGACCTTGTTCCGACTCCTGTAACGGTCCAGCCCGGCAAAGAAGGGATGTACATTGCATCATAAAGATAAGGTAAGTAAAACGTGAAGAATATATTGAAAAACCTTATTCTTCTACCCTTCCTATGAACGACTTAAATATGAAAAGTGGGCGTTTCTTCCAAAATCCAAGAACATGTATTTTATAAATTAATTTTCAATGAAGTGCTTCAATTTGAATTCAAAAATACCCAAAAAAGAAAAGGCTACCCTTTTAACCCTGTTTCTTCCTTTCCTTTAGAGGACAACCCCATGTGACCAACGACATAACTTGCAATCAGTCGGAAAAGCCTTACGAAGAACAGGCTTGCTACGGAACGTGCAGTCCCAAGTGGTTTAGTTCTGATTGGGGAGTTTGTGAGGGTGGCTGTTCCAATGGCGTCCACAGGAGGGACGTGCGATGCCTGGACAATCAAGGACGACATGCCACCACCTGCAAAGTGGATGAAATGCCTCCTGTTAAGAAGCCTTGCACTTGCAAGACTTCAGAAGACCCCAGTATTCATATACTCCCTCAGGATGAACCTGTTGACAGTAAGTTAAAATATTTATTTCTATTTCCGGATGGGCAGGTGGGGAGGGGTGGGCTACACGCTTTTTTGGTTTCGGAAAATTACCTACTTTATACATTTACTTTATACATTTATTTTGTAGAAATGGTAAAAAATTAACAGTGGCAGATATAAAAAAGGGTAATTTTTTAAATTAAGATAAAATTTTTGGTTTCGGAAAATTATTTTCGAGGTCAGACATTGCTAAGTACCTACTTTGTACATTTATTTTGTAGAAATGGTAAAAACTTATCAGACGCAGACATAAAAAATGATCATTTAAAAAGGATTTTTATAAAAAAAAAATAGTTCATTGCCCATTTAAGTATAAGATACTTTTCTCAGTATCTTTTTGACATAATTTTTTTTTTCATATTATGTGTTGACAAAATATAAGTCACAATAAAGTCACTACCGATAAGTCTTGGGTATTTTATCAATCAATGTGATTCGCGATAATGGTTCGGAGAAAGCATTTTCAAATTTCAAAAAAATTCTCGACAAGCATGATAATTTCCAAGCTCGCATTTCCTGAAAAATTACTGTATATTAAAATCGTTAGGATTTTTGGTATAAAAAAAAAATACCACGCAATAAAGCTTAATCATTTTTGAAAGTTTTTGAATTCTCTGTATCGTTTTTTCATTTTTCGACTCAACTATAGTAGAAAGAAAACTATTTAATTTTAAATATGAAACTTTGACATTTATCAGGGGTTAATATCAAATATCAATGTGAAAATTCACTTTAATTTTCTCCCACTATAAACTACCTCAAATTAATGAGGAAAAAATTTGTTGCTGCTGTCACACCCTTGCCGGGAATCGAACCCGGTACCTTTGGTAGTTAGAGCATTGATTCGTAAAGCCAAAGGTCCCAGGTTCGATTCCCGGCTAGGGTGTGACAGCAGCAACAAATTTTTCCCCTCATTAATTTGAGGTAATTTATATTTGGTTTTATTTTTATTTTTTAGATTCCTGTGTGGATAAGTTACAGATCTGTACAGCAGCTATGCAGGCTAGATTGTGTCAATATCCTTATTACATCAATAATTGCTGTAGATCATGCAAAAAATTCAAACAAGACGGTCTGTGATGATCATTAAGAAGTAGTTCATCCAGGGAAAGACCCGGGGCATGCACTGATCTTTTTTGGAATGCCAAAACATTGCAGATTTGATATGATATTATTATTCGCCAGTATTAGAAGAAGTGCTCGTTTTATGGACTTTTCTTTTGAACATATTCAAAATGTACGTACCTACAACTTCTACTTTTTTAGTCTTTTTTTTTTTTTCGTTGTATTCATTACTTATTCGACTGAGTGAAATTAATTCGTACCTACATATGTATTTGAACATGAGCATAATGCCTTCGGGGGTTGAAGGACTTTATTTATTTGCGTACATACGTAGTAGTCGAGGACTGATTTATTTTTATTAATATTCTACTTTATGTGAAATATCTTATACGTATTTAGATCACCACCACAAACACACTAAGTTTTAACACCGATCATTATTTTTTTTTTTTTATTAATGTTAATTGCAATATTAAGCTATTAAAAATGAATGTTTAGTAGACGATGTGACGACAAAAAAAAAATGTCTCCAAAGTCTCTCATATTGCCAAAACTAACAAACGTTTGTAATATTCGCTATCGATCGTATTTAATAATAGTAAAATTAGCACCGTGCTAATTGTTAATCTATTTGTACATTTAAAAAGGACACGATATTCGGGCTTAATGGTCATATCCCAGGATTCGAATCCACCTATAAGTCGTTTAACCAACGTTTCGCCAGCTGCTGTAGTCAGCATCAACAAGGGTGTAGTTGTGCTGATACTGACTCAGTCCCTGAAGATGCCAATATCAGCAGCTGACAAAACGTCGGATAATTGACTCATATGAGTGGACTTGCCAAAGGTGTCCAGGATAAGTTCTCCTCCTTCAATGAGTCCTAAAACGTGAGATGAGATGATCATACTTATCCTGGGTCAAGGTCATAAAGCCTGAATACTAAGTCCACTTCAGATAACGCCGGCCGTGAAAGCCTTTTATCTCTACATTTTTCAGTTCAACTATTTACACATTTATAGATTAATTAATACTTTTTTGTAGAAAATTGTTCTATTTTTCTTTTATTAGTTACCTGTGATTGCAATAAAAGCATACGTATTCGTAATAATCGTAGTTTGATGATTTTCGTAATAAGAATTCGATTGAATGAATGCTGAAGTTCTTAAACTTATCATACAGACGTGACTGTTATCTAAACTTAAGTATATGTGTTACGCATACTTTTGTTAGTTCTTTTTTTCATAAAAAACTTTTCTTGAAACTGTTTTAAGACAAAATCGTGAACCAATGAAATTTAAAATTTTATTTTATTCTAACGTAATATATTATTTCAAGGCCATGTAAGTACATAATGTAGAGAATTTGAGAATTGCTTTTTTGGGCCAGTTGCGTTAGTACTGCCATTTCGTATTATTAGTCATGATAAAATTATTTTTGTTATTACAATATATTTCGCTTAGCACTGCCATTCAAACCATTAACATTCGTAGTAGTAATAAATATAAGAAAAACAATTATTTAATTTTTTTACTAAACCTTAATACAGATTCTTGATATTATTGGACATCTAAAGGTAAGACCAAATGATCTTTTTTTTTATTCTTTTATTAAATATGTGTAAGAACTGATTAGAATGATTTTAAAATTTGGGTTATTTTAATTTTTGATGTCCATTAAATCTTTTATATGTTATCCAAAAGGGTGTTTCCAAACACTATTTTTTATAAGATTCATCTAATAATTAATTTTTATAATCAAATGATATAACTGCTGTCACCTTTCATCAATTTATTGATAAGAAATGTTTCATTGTAAATAAATAATTCAATATGAAAAAGGTAAATATGTATATACACACGTGTGATACCTTTTTAATGTATATTGATAACGGAGTTATTCAGTTATTAATTATGGTGTTTGATTGAACAATTAAGTTTTTTTAATTAACTCAAGGGAGCCAGACTGATCGCTATCTCAACAAATATTTGCCTTGCCTTTAAATTGTTCAGTTCCCATGTTTGAAGTGTGGTAATTAAAAAAAGACGCCGATAAGATAATATATTACATAGTATTCAATTTGTATAATGAATTAAAACATTGAACTTCCGTTTTTTGCATATTGATAGACTGTTTTCGTGTGCAAAGAGGAAAAAAGCAATATTATAATCCCTGAGTAATCTAATAAAAATATTCAAATTAGACAACTAACTTTACATGTGTGCATACTTGTTAGCTGACTAACATACCGCTAACCAATGGTCAAGGGACAGTATTTAATTTTTGACGTCACTGTTTAACATCTTTTATTGTAGTAACGCGACCTATGAACGCGAGTGGTGTGTCAGTGACCTTCCTTTAATTGTGGTTCGATATTCCGGTGATATCTTGATAATCATAAAGATAAACATCTAAAAGTAATTATTATTTTTAAGATTGTGCTAATTGCTATATATGATGTTAATTATTGAAGGGAAAAATATAGATTAATAAAGTCACCAATTGAAAGTGAACATAACCTATTAAAGTTCATTGACTTCCTTTAAGTGTCTTAAATAGTGAAAAATGATGAATTTTGAAGTGCAAGTGTCGGAAAATGGAAAATTCAGTTTCTACAGATGCTCCCTACAATTTCTATACCAAATGCAAAAGCAGAATAGCTCATCTGATGTTATATCTCCAAGAGAAAACTTCAAGGTATTTAAGATTAAATGTTTCACCGTGAGTAAAAGTACCGTATTAGAAAGGAAAATACATATTTGGAATTCATTTTACTTTAGTAAATGATGTATATTCCTACAAAATATAACATTTTTACTCACACTTGTAATTTTAAATGTAGAAAAGAAATAATTTGATGAGTAATTGAGATTGCTGATTCAGGAATCAGAATATGTTGTGTCCCAATAGATTTTAATATTGATTTTAATAATGTGAGTTGGTTGATGTCTTAACCCAGGTTACAGTGAGTAAATGCATCGTTTGTCATGCTAAGGTACCACTAAGGTACATATATTCATTTCATTATTTTTATATTATTTATTGACAAAAGGAAAGACATCTTTGTTATGGAGTAGCATACCAGTTCACCGTTTTTTGACAATTTATTTTATCAAAAATAAAAAATAGCAATAAATTAAGTACATCCAAATATCACTTCTTAAAACATATAATAGTATATTAATCATAACACAATGAATATCTTTGGTTTTTACAAACCTACATCTCACTTAAATGATTATAAAAACTTTATTCCACAATTAAGTAAATTGACGTTTTCATGCAAATCACAGTTTGATCGTCATTGTCACTTATAGTCCAAGTTAATTCACTGGATGTCTGAAATAAGGAAGCAAAATTTATTAAAACAAATTACTAACTTGCCCTATATAAATATTCAAAAGTATAGTCATAGGAGTTACAAAGGAGTAATCGTATATTATCATCATTTTCGTTTAATATTTTCAATTCACCCCTTCTGCATTATTTCAAAAAACAAGTAACTGTTTTAAAACAAATTTATAACAAAACATAAATAAAAACGTGAAGGTGAACAATACATTTAATACGTAATCATGATCGTGTAAAGTGTAGGTGATAATAAGTGTCAAAGTTTGAAAGTACATGCTAGAAATGAAATATTTTTATTTACAGAAGCTAAATGGAATAAGTGAAAATACTTTATCGCTCGTAGAAATTTTTAAACATTTTTATATACCTATATCATCGCTAAAATAAACAAATCATTGTACACATTTATTGAACTTTTGGGTTTAGCCTAAAAGTCCAGTTTTCATTAAAGTGGATTTTTTAATGGATATTGATTAATTGATATCGTTTAAACTTTGAAACAATTCTTAAAATATTTGGCTCTCCTTTATATAATTATAGATTATAATGCTGTGCTACCTTCATTATATTGTTCAAATCCTGCCTGAATTCGGTCACTTTTTTTTAATAAATGTTTTATTCTATTTTTAAAAGAAAATTTGAAAAAAAAAATTAATTTTAAAGCATTTCGGTTCTTTTAAATTGAATACTTTCACCTATCAAATGTGTTCACTTAAATCCATTTAAAAATTCGGTTGCAGTAAACTTGTACAGTTATTTTGATATAGATACCTAGTACACTTAGTACCGACGATATAAGTTTACATTTAAAAATATTTTTAAATCTTCTAGATTAACGACAACATTGCATCTCTGAATTAATCAAAAAGTTAGCTTAATTGTATACCGTTTTATCTAAACAAAATATCAAGTGTTCTTTCTTTTCTGAAAATTGATATGTAAGATGGATTACCTAACAATAAGTTGGTATAAAGTGCGATCGTGATCATGCTCACATTGAATGATCAACAAAAAACAAAAAAAGCAGTATCTATTACTTTTCATGCTTATTTCAAACTATTATTTAAATGACCAGTGAAATATTAGAATTATATTTACATATTCAACATTAAAACACTTTTTGATGGCAAATTGTTGAATGAGCTTGTATATAAAATTTCGAAACGTTAGCAGCTAAAAGTAATAAGTTGTTTAAATAATTATGTGATTGTCACAATGCTGCTAGTCATAGTTGTCCAGTTCTAAAACTATTTGTATATGATCTCCTAAAGAAGTACCTACAATAACAATACAGATTTACCAACGATTAAATGTTTTCAATTTTTACACTTTTAAGTTGAACTAGCGAAGTATGTTTCAAAAATAGTTGATCATAATATAAAAGTGTCGCGTAGAAAACGAAAAAGTTGGTGTTTGTATTTGCTAAAAAGCATAACTGTAAAGTAATCATCTTTCTTATTGATTATTCTTTCTAACAGAAAGAAATTAAAGTGCAGAATAATAGCATATTGTTTGATAAAAGTAATATCATCTAAATGTGACTTACTGGAATCGGTATTGATTGAGATGTTACATTGATAATGACTTGAAAATCTTGATTGGAATGTTTGGCTAATGGGCACGGTATTGCCGAACAGGGTTGGGCCGGGTTCACATCAACCGGCTCATTAATTACCCCAAACAGTTTAACGAATGCACTTTGGGTAAAACTGGCAGTGTCACGTGCTACGTAAAAAAAGGTAAAGAATTAAAATCAAAATACTCTCATAACAAGTACAAAATAATCATTCATTTTACATTTGAACATTCGAAGGTATACATAGTGTTAGACTAGCAGTTAGTTTCCTTATTTCTAAAGAGTACTATAATTTGTCGCTAAGTTGTTATCAAACCCAAAAAATTGTCGCTAATTTGAGTAGATAAATTTTCGAGAAAAACGTTATCAGATTACGTAACACAAAAAACCACACCTAAACAATAGACTCACTACGAATAAGTAATAAGTACTACGGCTACATCGTAAGAGTTAAAAATTTATTGACTCTGTTTTATTTATCTTGTCGACCAATGTTTGCATTTAATTTGTTCTTAACTAATAGTGCAATTTTGTTAATAACCCACTTCTGATGACTGAATATACTCTGCCTCCCGTTTTCCAACGCAATATTGTTATTTAGAAATACCAAAAAAAAAAACATACTTGACGTGAGGTGTATAATCATCCTGTAGCTTCTGTTGTAAGCTATGCGGCATGGGGAGGTGGTACAGTTCTCTATTTCGACATAATCTAAAATGTATTGACTACCTGAAAAGAAAAACAAAAAAATAAAATAAAATAATGATTGCCGATAGAAAGTTTATAAACTTCTGCCATATTTTCACATTTATACTAATATTATAAAAAGCCAAAATTTGAAATGTGGACATAAAGCTGTGTATTCTCTGAAATTACTAATCCAATTTCAAAAATTTTTTCACCAATGTTTAGAATGGAACTTCAGGGTAAATATAGGTGTGTATTAATCTGTTGAAATAAAGTGGGGTTTCGTGGAGATCAATTTTTGCAACGTGTTTCTTATTACAAGCGGTCTCTAAATGGTACTATATATACAGGTAAGGCAAAATGTTCACCGAAGAATATAATATAAATGCCATGCGGGCTAGTTTAAAATAAAAGATAGAAACGTAGAAAAGGTTCTTAACTAACATATAATATTGTTCTTAAACTGACATGTAATATTGATTTTAATTTTTTTTTTTGCAAATGTAACAATCATTAGTAATTCCGAAAATTGAAATTTTTCGTAATAAATAACATTAGTCTTCACCTAAAACATAACAAATGCTTTAAACAGTAATTACATTTGTCTAGCTACTATCACTTTATTATCTGTACTTTTAGTTTAAGCTGTTTACAATATTGTTTTATTATTCCGGAAAATTCGTCGTTTTGATTTTAAACGCGTGCCGCTTTTTTAAAATAAATCAGTTAATCAAGATGGTATTGAACTAAGATATCACAATAACACTTCGTTTTTGTCCGATATTTTGCCTTTCGCCGTTTATTCCTTGTGTAATAAATAATAAATAACGAGATTTGCAAGTATTGTAATTATTTTTTTTTTTAATCGTAAGATAAGTATGATTTTGATTCAAATTTACTGCTTATCGCATTTATGTTTTGGTAAATGTGTTCACTATCTAATCTATTCTGTATTTGAAATTGTAATCGTGATGATATTGTTTCCACACATTTTCGAACGACTGTGGTATTGTCTCGCATTTATTCCAAATTTTTTTAAAAAGCCTAAAGGGGCCGTTGTGTCAGATGAGCGATTTGGGTTTTAATTTTCTCAACAAGTACCTTTAACATGAATTTACCCATGAACTAATACCCGCGAAATGTTTGTTTGCAAGAAAACTTTTTCGCGCAAAAAATTAATGAAAATATATGCCCGCTTAAGCCTTTTTATAGTACACGAAAAAAACATACAGAAAAATTCGCACAATTCCTTCACGCATCTTTTCGTAAAGAAAAAATGCAGACAAAGAAATGCGTAATTTGTATTCGGTGAACTTTTTGCCTTACTTGTATAGATCAGTAGCAAGCATGTAAGAAAAAACCTTATATACAATGGAAAAAAGCATTCTGCATAGTTTTTCTTCAATAACCAAATATCAAAGCAATAATACGTAACGTATTTTGATTGGTTGACTCATTGGAGGTAGTTTGTTTAAGTTTTTAATTGTTACTATACTTAAAATAAACCGCTTTTTTCTCAGATGTCGCTTGTACAATGTTTCTATGAAATATATTAATAAGTACTCCATTCTCATTATACATTACTAATTGATTAATAAATAATTATTAGATTATTACATTAATTACATGTTATATAAAGTAAATTAAAAAATTAAGAATCGATAACAAATTAATCATGAAATACTTATTAAAGAGTATTTGAAACAAATGTATNGGAACTTCAGTTAATTAAAAATTGACAAAGAATGTTTCACAAATTTAAGGATTATAGGTATTTAAACAAACATTATTACATCATCTGAAGAATTTAAAAAAAGCGTTTTTCAATTTTTATAAATAAACATAAAAAGGCATCCACTAGAATGAAATTATGGATTTAATGCCTTTTTTTTAAATCAAAGATTAAACGTTAAATGCTATCTAAACGGTACCATTCATTTTATCAAAACAAATGATATTGATAGGCAGAAATGTGAGCCACATTTTTTAAGAATTTTGTCATTAATATCTTCCGTAATTAAAAAACATTCTCCATCGTAAAGGATATTGTTTTGCAAAAGTCAATCATCTTTCATTTTTATAATACCTTTAATTAACTTCCAAGCCATAAAAAGCGCTATATTTGCAAAAAACAGCTTAGAAAAGCTTTCATCTTGAATAATTTCTAATCTCTTGCGATTTTTAATCTTTTCTTTAAGATGTCGAAATAAAGCGTCTTGATATTGATTTAACTACATTTCTTAATAAATAATAAACTTACCGCAATCGCTATAAGCAAGTTTTGATTTTCTAGGAGGAAAACCTTTTACGACATTTCCACATAAAAATGTAAAAAGTGCGAATGCCACGATGGGCTTTATTAATTGTTTCATGGTATTGTGCACGAATTTCAAAATCACGTATACGTGTAAACGCCACTCACTTTAAATTGACTACATCGAAATCACATTGGAGTATAATACTTATTATATTTAAAAAGATGATAATATATATCATTCAATTAGAGTGGCTCTTCTGCTCGTTATCATATTTGAATTTTAATCTAATATATTGTAGATAATCTCTTCCTAAAAATAAACTCGGTATCTCTTAAAAACTTCAGTAACAATCAGCTTCTTGTTTTATGCAGTTTTCATTTTTTCTTTAATTATTGTTCCTTTCAATCTTACACAGAATAAGTCACCCGGTATATAAAGGTATTCGTATTTCCCGCTAAAATCGGCCGATGACGTCATATCACGGTGTTTATGTTTACTTCTAAAAATTAATACGCATTCAAACGTAAACGTATTTTACTTTAAAGAGTATGGGTGTGATCGTAGACACAGTGGTTAGATAAAGTAAAGTAAGGTTAGAAATAAATAACCTATATGTGTTAACGTCAGTAAGTTACAAGTTTGTGTTAAGAATGTGTTAATTAGAATAAGTAATGGCCAATCGAACAGTAAAAGATGCAAAATCCGTTCATGGAACGAATCCGCAGTATTTAGTTGAAAAAATAATTCGTTCTCGTATTTACGACTCTAAATACTGGAAGGAAGAATGCTTTGCTCTTACTGCCGAACTTTTAGTTGATAAAGCTATGGAATTAAGATTTATTGGTGGTGTGTTTGGTGGAAATATTAAACCAACCCCATTTTTGTGCTTGACTTTGAAAATGCTTCAAATACAACCTGAGAAAGACATTATTGTGGAGTTCATCAAAAATGAAGAATTTAAATATGTTCGAGCTCTAGGTGCTTATTATATGAGGCTTACTGGCTCATCATTAGATTGTTACAAATATTTGGAACCGTTGTATAACGATAATAGGAAACTAAGAATGCAAAACCGTCAAGGGCAATTTGAACTCATTCATATGGATGAATTTATTGATCTACTGCTAATTGAAGAAAGAGTAAGTCCTGTTAAATTTAAATTAAGGTAATTAATTATTTGACTTGAAGGTTTGTGATGTAATACTGCCCCGAATTCAGAAAAGATATGTCTTGGAAGAAAACAATGAAATAGATACTAAGGTTTCTGCCCTTGAGGATGATCTTGAAGAAGAAATTGAATTAGAAGAAACAATCAAGGAAGAAGTAACCACAAAAAAAGAAAAAAAAGATAGTCGCAGAGAAAAGAAAAGAGAACGAAGTAGAAGCAGGAGCAGATCTAGAGATAGACATCGTGAAAGAGATAGGGAAAAGCATAAGGATAGGGATAGAGACAGAGATCGAAAAGAAAAAGACAGAGATAAGGAAAAGAGGGACAGGGAAAGGGAAAGAGACAAGGATAGGAAAGAAAGAAAAAAGGATGATGAAAGAAAAAGAGATCGAGATAGAGAAAGACATCATTGATTTTTTTAAGCTAATTTCATTTATTGTATAATGTTACATCTGTACGTCTTTTATTCATTTTTATAAATTTTTTCATCAAAATAACGTTTTTGATTTTCCTTTCGCCGTATGTTAACTTTTAATAAAATAGTGCTATTATGTCAGAAGTCAAGAGATTTTGCATATTGACTGTATAATAAGCTAAAAATTAATTAATATTTATTTGTTGAATTTATGCAGTTTTAAACTAGACAGTTTATATTATCTATATGGTTAAAATGGACCCTAAGTAAATTTTCAGGTACAATTTTTTTTTGTAGCTAATCATATGTATATACAAAACGCATACTTTATTTAACTTATCGTTTATGTTTGATTTAGAATTTAGCGTATTTGTTCACCTTTGTATTGATAACTTACGTCCATAGATGCCTACGTCATTTACATGCGATTATAAATAGTTATTATTAATTCCTTATAACCTCAGACTACTTATGTCCTCAATTTACTTTCCAACTTAAATGGCTCATATAACAAATTTCGAAGTTTTGGACAAGCAGGCGGTCCCAAACGAAAGAAAACCGCTCTTTCATGTAAGTTATTTATTAAGTTCTAAAGCGTATTATATTTTCAATCTGTTACTTCAATATTTACCTAAAAACTTTATGATTGCATTATAAAAGTATAATCTTTCTAATGAGTTTAACAATAAAACTAAAACTTGATAATAATCAGCAAACAATTTGCTAAATTTATATAAAAGTTACCACTACGCTTCAGAGCAAAGTTTTTAATAATTGAAGAATTTAAAAAAAGCGTTTTTCAATTTTTATAAATAAACATAAAAAGGCATCCACTAGAATGAAATTATGGATTTAATGCCTTTTTTTTAAATCAAAGATTAAACGTTAAATGCTATCTAAACGGTACCATTCATTTTATCAAAACAAATGATATTGATAGGCAGAAATGTGAGCCACATTTTTTAAGAATTTTGTCATTAATATCTTCCGTAATTAAAAAACATTCTCCATCGTAAAGGATATTGTTTTGCAAAAGTCAATCATCTTTCATTTTTATAATACCTTTAATTAACTTCCAAGCCATAAAAAGCGCTATATTTGCAAAAAACAGCTTAGAAAAGCTTTCATCTTGAATAATTTCTAATCTCTTGCGATTTTTAATCTTTTCTTTAAGATGTCGAAATAAAGCGTCTTGATATTGATTTAACTACATTTCTTAATAAATAATAAACTTACCGCAATCGCTATAAGCAAGTTTTGATTTTCTAGGAGGAAAACCTTTTACNACTTTATGATTGCATTATAAAAGTATAATCTTTCTAATGAGTTTAACAATAAAACTAAAACTTGATAATAATCAGCAAACAATTTGCTAAATTTATATAAAAGTTACCACTACGCTTCAGAGCAAAGTTTTTAATAATTTGCTACTTGATTATATGTTATATATTTTAATAATTTGCTGCTAGATTGTAAGTTACATAATATATTGTTTTGATTATATACAATGTATAATTAATTGAAAACATGCTTGTAGATGGATAAATCTGACAGGAATAGTTTTGGGTCTTCATTGAAAAAAATTATTTGCCCTAAGTGGCACACAACATCAAATCTATTTGCATTGGTGCTGCTTATCCTATTAGTTTGGGCAATTTCCTGTTCCCTATTTGAATTGGAGTATGTTGGACCCTCCAGTCAACTCTTCAAACTTATAGTATAAACATCTTTATGTATGACTTATCTTTATACCTCCTTAGAAGATTCCATGATGTTGTAGGTCCTTTTTATTTGTGCTAAAATATCAGGATGTATTGTATCGTTGTTCGGTTTACCTCCCATGGTGGGAATGCTCTTGATGGGTGTCTTATTTCGGAATGTTGAATATTTGGAAGTGATTCCACCATATACTACTTTTACATCCGTGCTACGGTTTGTTAAATTAGATTGTAAAGTGAAAAAAGGATTTAAAATTTGTTTCTCATCAGTCAACTAGCTTTGGTGAATATCCTTCTTCCTGCTGGTTTAGGATTAGATCCTAAAGCTCTCCTGAGTAAAGGCTTAATGATTGTAAATCTTGCTTTGGTACCAGTTGGAGTTGAAATAATTGGTGTTACTGTTGCTTCGTATTTTCTTCTTAACTTACCGTGGCTCTGGGGTTTACTATTAGGGTATCTCGAACATATTTCCATATTACTTTTTAATAGGAATTGTTTTTGTACAATTTCTGTTTCAGATTTTTGCTAGCTGCAGTATCTCCCGCAGTTATAATACCTTGTCTGTTCAAACTTCAAGGCCTGGGGTACGGTGTTAACAAAGGAATTCACACATTGGTGATAGCTGCGTCAACTGTTAATGACCTTGTGTGTATTGTAGGCTTTGGAATCGTTTTAGATGTTATTTTCTCTTCTGGTAAAAAGCACCATTTGTGTAGATAGTCGATATGAAAAATTAAAATTTTTCGTTTTTACAAATCAAAATCATAAAAAATATATTATTATTGTAGGGCCATGGTATTCACAAATTAGTAAAGGACCAATAGTTTTAGCCATAGGTTTCGCTTATGGAATAGCTTGGGGTGTTTTATGTTATTTTATACCTAGTACCGAAAATGTAAACAAAAAACACTTAATTTACCAATTCTCCAAGGAATAGTTTCTGATTTTAGGAATACATTGTTACTTTAAGAACTTTACTTCTTGGGTTGGGGTGTTTATTATCGGCCGTGGGGAGCAGCGCCATAGGCTACGCAGGCGCTGGAGCACTAGGGTGTATCGTGGCCGCATTTGTCGCCAGCATAGGGTGGCGTAGACAAGGATGGGATAGTAACGTATAAGAACTTGCTTTAAAAAGTTATAGTTATATTTCAACTTAATTTTGTGGAACACTTTTCAGAACCCTGTGAGAAATAATTTTATTCTCTTATGGAAGTTTTTCGAACCTGTCTCGTTCGGTCTAATCGGAATTGAAGTTAATTTTAAAATTTTAGAACTGTATACAGTCTTGTGGGGAATTCTTTCAACATTGGTCCCTTTAATGGTACGTGTAGGAAAAATTTCGTTTGAATTTTTTAAGTAATTCTATTTTCTAGTTAAGAATGATAGTTTCATTTTTATCAACACAATACTCCAATTTTAATGTTAAAGAAAATGTGTTCATTGCTTTATCATGGATACCTAAAGCCACTGTGCAGGTATTTTTCTTAATCTTCTTAATTTATTTAAAAAAAGTACATAGAGAAATATTAAAGCACCATTTTTTTTTTGTAATAGGCTGCACTCGGAGCAACACCTTTAACAAATGCATATATTATTGGTGATGCAAACAGCATTTCTTATGCCAACACTGTTCTTATTGTAGCAGTTATGTCAATTTTACTCACGTCGCCTATTGGAGCGATCTTAATAATGAAATTAGGGCCGAAATTCTTGCAGCGGACTCTGCCAAACAATCCTCAGGGTATTTAATAACAATTCTTTTCATCTTACTTAATTCTAATATTGGAAGTTAGCTTTAATGTACTTAAAAATGAAATCAATTAAAAATTTAATTGCCACGTTATTAAGTTAATGTGCTGAAAATATATATAAAAAACTAATTATATTATTAAAAAACACGTTTCCTATAAACAGAATGTGAACAGCTTTATTTGATAATCAGTCACTAATATCGTTCGTTTTTTTTTTACATATTTACATTATTTCGAATTATACTCAACAGTCTGCCTTAAAACGTTGGAGCATTCAAATGAAACAGTCGATCTTCCTGTTTCTTGATCCATGTTAACAGTTTTCCAATTAACGCAATAGTTGCACTCTTATCAGTTGATGGTTCGAGTACCACGTACAGTTCAAAACCCTTTGTATCCCACGCAAGCAGCACTTCGTCGGAGCTCTTCTCGTAGAGCAATTTCAACGGTCTCGAAGTCGAATGTAATCTTTGATGTGCTCGTCTGTATAAAGTCAGTAGTCGTCCGTAATCAGACATGTATGGAGCCCCCACACCCGGCTGATAGAACTGCGCGGTAGATTTGCATTTGTATAAGTAATGTCGTAACTCGGGGAATCCCGTTTCAGCACAAGTTTCTTCGCGAACATTCAGGGACTCGTTAATCCCTTCGAGGCAGTTAGCGCGACGTAATTTCTCAACGATTTTTTGTTTGGCTTCACTTAATGTGAAAAATGCTTCACGGTCAACAGTCAATAATAATAGGCACGCCTGACAATCTTCAGAAAGATATGACACGTGACCATAAAGGAAACCACCAGAATCGAACCGGGGTAAACACAGCGGTGTCCAACTCTCGGCCGATTTTAAACTTTCTGAGGCTCGAACTAAATTAAAAATTAAATGCAAGTCAGCTGGATGAATGTAGTACTTTTTCATTCGTACTAAAGTAATCAAATTATTGTTGGCTAATAAAATGGCAAAGACCAAGTCCTAAAAATTAAAATAATGTAAATTCTGAAAAAGGTAATGTTTAAGCAGGCACTAACTTTTATTTTACTGCATGACTGCACAATTGCAGAACTAATTGTATCTCTTATTGACGCTGCCAAAGGTAGACATTTAACTGCTCCTAAAGTAAATGAAGGTTCTGAATCAGAAAAGTCTAAAAGAGAATCAATAAGTCGCTCTACACCAGCAAGAAGCCTCCTTAAATCATAATTTCTTCTTTGTTGATATATTTGGGACAATCTGCTTAGTGTCAACATGCTCACTATCTCATTAAATACATAACTAAAACACGTAGAATTATTATTAAGTGAAAACGTGAATATGCATCTTTCAGAACTATTCACATACATAAAATAATATTATTTAATATTTGTCATGAATTATGTATTACTTACTTTAATTGTGCAGTTAGCTGACTGACACTCTCACCAGTCTTTGAAATAGAAACCAGAATGAGAGGTTCCTTGAAAAGAAAAACAAACTTAGTGTTTCCAACATGTATGCTTTTTAGAGAATCATTATCAGCTTGAACAAAACTGACTAATGCTTGCATAACTCCAAAATAGCTTGCAAATTTATCTTCATTGCCATATCTAAAAGAATATTGTTGGTTTCTGGTTTTGTAAACAATATAGAAATAGTGTACCGCGAATATATAGGTTTTCCAGCTGAACTTAAAACAAAAATGTGTTTACTTTTTCCCAACCAGTCATTATCTTTTATATAATCATCTCCAGTTGCAATAGTGTTGCAGCTGATATCATCATAGTCGTCTGGGTCTACGTTATTTATGTTTTCGTCTTGATTATCTGGCTGCATTTTTTTAATTTCATCTAAACTGGAACTCATATTCTGTAAATTTTCAGAAGATTCTGAAATGATAAGCATGCTTTCAGGGGCTGCCCCAGGTTCTACATCATTTGTCTCTGCTTCTGCTGACATGCTTCTATGTTTTATGTTTTTTAATCCGAAAAGGTATTTTAAAGTGATGTCTTTTCCAAGCTGTGTTAAGTTGGTTATTCGGTTGCTATTATTGAATCACAAACATCCTCAACACACTAATTTCTTACTTTGACCCTAATAATGTCGTACCTATTAAGAATAATAACAAATCAGCTGCATAATCACAAAACATTACTACTACATTTTAATGATTTAACCCTTTATAACTTCATTTAACTTCTCACTTTGTTTTTGTATTACTTCAAACCTCACTTTGTAAATGACATTTTAAGTTATTAGTATATTGTGTCTAAGGTACGCCTAAGAATAAGTGTCAAACGTGTCTGATTCTCACACGTTCTATTGCCGGCCAGTAGAGCGCACTAGTGCCATTAAAATATTAGCTGGTTCCCTGTGTATATCTATGAGTTACAGCAAAAATGGCAGATTAAGAACACAAGAAGTCTTTCCTAGTCTTTTCTGTGTAAGACGTAAGAAACGTTTGAGTAAAAATTTTTGCTGGAAATCATACAATTGTCGAAACCTTATCACAAAATGTTGAGAATTCATGTCATAATATATATGTATCCTTGATATAAACAGAGAAAAGCGTTTGATGTTACTTTAACATTGTATTATGCACTTTTTTACTATTTACGTTAAAGTAATTCAGAAATTGTACTGTGCTGTCTGTTAATGTGTATATTATTTAATTTCTTCTATAAACGGTAATAGAAACCTTGTGTATATTTTGACTTTAATATGAGAATAAGGAGATAAAGGAAAAGTAATATTAAATTAATTTCAAGTTAACTTCACCATCACTTCTGCCACATTAAATATTATTGTTTTACTTACTTTGCAGTAGTTAACTTGCTTTTAAAATTAAAAATTGTAGATGAGATCCTACAAAAGCTCAGTGTAGACATTTGTAACTTTCCTTCGGAATATTGCGGTTTGCAACTAATTAAGGTGAGCATATACAGTACAATTAATACTGTATATTATTAATTATCAATTTTNCTAGTCCGAAACCATACGCCATCTTCCTCACTTTTCGAACCAAGAAATTATTACAACAACATACGGCTAAGGCACGTCCATTAATATAAGTCTATGGTATGCTCGGTTATATTTCGGAACACACCCTCTAAAACATTGTACTTGAGGAAAATCACAGATATTCGAGAACATTCTAGTTTTCTCATTTATTTTAAACGGCGGTCGACCCTTAAAACTACACACTCACTAAACATTAGAAGAGATTTCAAACTTTTTTTAAGGCAGTTTCCTCAAAATACCTATATAAGAATGCTCTAAATCAGAACCCAGCTCTACCACTCTGAACTGGAGACATTTCGAGCATTGTAGGAGATTGCAAATATTCTTTAGAATACTTGTGTCGAAATATGAAAATGCCCTAGATCGACCACGGGAGGCTGAAATATCCTTGTTTTGTTTATTTACGCCGTCTAGTGTCTACTATATTCTCGAACACACTGTAGGTCCATTTGATGAAATAGTATTGTACTTATTTTACGGTTAGAATTTGATTGAAATGTGTCTAGTAACTGGTCGATTTACGTTTTTCGTCAAGTTCATCGAACAAACAAATAACAGTATTTTTTACGATCGAAACCTATAAAGTTAGTGGTTAAAACTGGATGTAATTCGTAAGTGCTTATTATATAACGCCCATTAAAAAACATGCAAAATAGATCACTTGTGTTTCGCGCCAATTAAATTCATTGAGGTTTGCGAGGAATTCAATGTTTAAGCACATTAAAAACGACAATTAATTCAAGTTCACACCCAATAGCCTTGGCATAAACGATAATTTAACTACTGAAGTCAATAATAATAATAATAATGTGTTTATTTTATCGTCCATGCCTTTTTGTTTTTATTTCTAATAATCGAGGAAATTGTTTTTGAAAATAGCCTTCATCAAAATTACATGAATTTATTATCTGTTTTCATCAATCAACATTGTACATGTTTCGTTTCAAGTTTTGGAACGACAGAGAAAAGTTAAAGAGTTTTTATTAAGATTATGTAAAACAAGCCAGTTTCAATTTTGATTATTTATTGTTAGTTTTTACGTTTCTTGAAATGAAAATCGTTGCGATGTAACTCCTTAATTGGGAAATTCAAATCATTATAATTATTTTGTATAGAAATTAAAATAATACGGATTTACTAAGTTACAAAACTAGTTTTGGAAAGCGTCGTGTAACTCATTGAACTAATTTATCGCCTTTTATTATAATATAATTAAAAATAATCCGTTAAGTAGGAGGTAAACGCACAGTGATCAGAAATTCCAGATTATAATGCAAAGGGCATGTCCTGGAAAATTTGTAAATTCGAAAATAGATGCGGGCAAAGATTCTGGTACAAATTGGCCTTAATTTTAACCTTTTCCAACCAAGGTATTTTCTTCATCAACCCATAACCTAAAACACTTTATCCCACAGTCTAAACGCTGCATAACTTTTTCTTTTCTGACGTCGCTAATATCTACATTTCGCACCCGTATAGAGTCGTAGTGCAAACGTACACTTAATAAACTTTAGCAGATACAAAGGTGATTTATTTTTGGTAAAACACGACGCTGTGCTGTTTTCTGTCTTTACCACTTTATCCATTCTTCTAAATTACATTACACGGCTGGTAGATTATACATCGGCGTCGTCAAATTGAGGCATAGCAGGACCTCTAGATTAATGATAATTTAGTAATTTTCTTGTTTCCCGTGTAATTGAATGTGTCTGTAGAAATGACGTTCAAGCTTTTCGATGCGGCTGCTAGTAAAAGTCGTTAATTTTAAATGATTCTGTGCACTTTCTAGTTCAGTTTGAATACGAACGAAGACAGTTTCCATTTTAAAGCGTAAAATCGTTTAATCTCTTACCTTGGAGGCGTACGGATCATTACTTAATCATGTTTAACACGGTGACTAAAGATGTGTCGTAATTTGTTATACCGTCATTATCTGTATACTGTGACGAATGGTATAAATTATTTATATGTTTATGTACAGTACTATGCAGATAAAACAGTCAACAACAACTTTATAAAAAAAGAACACTATTTTGATTTGTTCTTGCCTTTAAGTCTAAAAAGGAAATTAATAACGTCTTTTCTAAACTTGTTGGTTTTGAAATTTTGGATAGATCAGTATCTAAAAATGAGTATTGATTGATTTCGGCAGAATATGAAACAAATAGGTTTAAATGAGTTTGAATTGTTGACAAATGTTTTTCAAAACTGAGACATTCTTTTAATTATCATATTCAATCATTTATTTGATGAATTTGATAATAATGGCCATGTATTGTATTAGTATATAGGCAAAAAGAAATACGTCCAGATTATTTAATGTATTATAGGTATATACTAACATGTGAACCTCTTGGTCATATTGAACTCGGTATGTTTATAAAACAATATGTATATTACGATTTTAGTAAACACAACTGTTATGACTACTCATTCGAAAATTAGAAGTGAGTTAGTTGGCTGTAGTCTTTTGTCCAGAGAAAAAGTATATTAATTAAAGTGAATATTCATTAAAAGAATCTTTCTTTTAATCAAAAGATCCCAATAACCCTAATATATTGAAACTGGATTGAATGATTTAAAAGACTAGTCCTGAATTATTTTAGCCTAAATGTACTTATTAATTATTTCAAAATTTATTATTAACGGTTAAATAATGCTATTTTTTAATTGAAAATAATAAGTATAATATCAGTAAACACAAGACAATATCGAAATTACAATAACTTAGCATAAGTAATCATAAAAATCATATCATAATCATAAATCATACAAATTTGGACAAACAACCTATTTCAATACGTACAATCTTAATTTCACCATTTTCATTAGCTAGGTTGTTTGTTACACTTATTAAATTGGCATTACTGGCATTTGTTTGTTTTTCCTCTGGTAGAATTACCCTGTACCCGACTGAACCCTAAATAAGTGCCGGATCCAAACCATGTCTATTGTCCTCCATTGCGCGGGCGCCAGTACCACTTCTGGCACATTCATTACTTTATGATTTAATTTTTCAAATTGATTTATAAGATAAACTGAAGGGTGGTGGATTATTATATTAAGCACCTAGGGAGGTATTAGAAATAAACCGTTGCGTTTGTTTAACCAATACCAGCAAATAAAAACAACCGACTCGTTCGTAAACATGCAAATTATCTTATTGAAACGTAGTTCAAGTCACATTGTACATAAAACATCGTAAAATAAATGAATAAGCGGCAACTTCTTTATTCAACAGGTCATCCAAATAAGAATTATTGACTGTAACGACACTAATTTACTGTGAACACTTGTGTAACATTGAAATAGTGACTGTGTTCTGTACTTTCCGTGTGTATGACTAACTTACAAAAAAAATGTGCAGTTAACAACAATTAGTGACCACTAGATTCTTTCGTTGCTTATTGTTTATGTGTTGTATGTTCCATTTTCGGTAGGTACATTGTTTATTTGTAAAATAGTGGTGTCCTATAAAAAACAACAGAAAATGTACGAAGTGTCGAGTATGGGGGTTGGGAGTAAAATGGACGCGGCCGCCGCGATCAAGCACAACGAGTCGGCACGTCCCCAGGACACGGTAAAGAAACAAGTTTTGCGTTTTTTGCGGAGATCGAAATCGCTGGTGCGACCTCCCGCATCGGGCTCACCCGCGGTTGCAGTGGAAAAACGGAGCGTCGCCGACTACAGACAAACTAATCACAACACCAACAACAACAATAACAGCGGCAGACACCATGGGGACGCCAGAAGGCACCACCACGGGAGACATAGCGACTCCCACGCGCCCACCACTAACAATCATAACAACAACGCAGGTGCTAATAAGGTGCAGGTGACCAGAAATGGTATGGTGGTTGCTGTAGTCGACGGACTACCGTTCGTCGTGGGAACTAAAAACAAAAAGGTAGATTATTAAACATTTCGACTAATGAAATCCTACAAACGGCTCGGCAAACGCCATCTATAGTAAATTTAGTGAAATTCAGTATGTTCAAGAAGGTCCATTTGTATTGGTGGATATCTACTTGCTACGGCGTAGCTTACCATACGTGATAATTATTACGTTGCAAGAATCGCACAAAGAAGTTCGTTTTGGTCAGGTCGTTGATCGCGATTTCGATCTTATTGGATCTCTTCAGAATACTAACCACTATGAACTTCTTTGTTCGATTTCGATTAAGATTGAATTGCATGGTAAATTGTCTGTCCAGATAGATGAGTGTCACTCTTAACTTTTAAGGTAGTTATCTCCGTAGGGCACAACAGGATGGAGTTCAAAGTCAAGGAAAAACAATATCTAAGCTACAAAACACTCTTTAACATCACCATGGTCATTTCGCCATCAAGTGGCTTCATTCCCAGAATGACACCTTGTTGCTTAAACCACACTTTTTTTCACATGAAAAATATTCAATACTAGTCGTAACTCATCCTGATTTGGATGATACCTTAACCCTTGACATTTCTTAAACTTTTAACCCCCACTTCACACTTACGAATGGTATTTTGAAAACTCATTTTGCAGTGGATGATTTCAAGCTTCCTTACTTAACAGGTCAAACTTTGGACCCTCTTTTCTCTGCTTTAGAGGTTGAATTTCAAAGTATCCTTTCTTAAGTCTCTAGACTTGAGCTGTGTTAATATATTAGTCAGTCGGTTTATCCATTTATGTACGAGGGTGGATTGATAAGTTTCCGGCCTAACCAAGAGATGACGCCACTAGGCCTACCTTGAGGTGACATTCTATAGTACCATCCTTGGATAGCTNTTTGTCAACATAAACCGAAATTTTCATACGGAAGGGAGATGGTAGGTACGTCTCCCACTTCTACGTGACGAAACTTGTGCCCGCCCGATAACTCGACAATGTCGATTCTCGACCGTCCTGCCATCTCATAGAAATAACACCTACTAAATTTTCCGGCCGCAATGGCCCATTAGAAATATAGTTCTATATACGTCTCTCTTCTCTGCTTGAATCTTTGTTCTCTATGAACTCTCTTGATAAAGTCAACAAATGTAACGACGCTATAAGCGCCAATTTGATATTTTCAGAAAAAATTTACATAAACTGAAATTTTGTAATACATACAATTCTAACAAAATAGCGGATGCTTCGACATTCTATTAACAAAAAAAGTAATATATGTTTGCCACAGCATGCATATTGTTCCAGATTTTATGTTGCGAAAATTGATAATTAATAATATACAGTATTAATTGTACTGTATATGCTCACCTTAATTAGTTGCAGACCGCAATATTCCGAAGTTCACACATGCGAAAGGCAAATCACATCCAGACAGTGAAAATTAACTTCCAGTTCTCCTTCATTTATTGACCAAGCTGTAGAAATGACCAAGAAAAACTAATTAACTACCGCTATAAAAGCACATATCAGTATTTAATCCTCCTTTTCATTTATCTTCTGATTCTCATATTAATAGAAACTTTTAATTGTAAAATATACTGATATAATATAAACAGTAATTGAAATAGATGATAAGATGTATTTTTTGCTTTTTTATTTAAAAACTATTATTTGCATATCATATTCACTGTATACGTATATAGTTATTCATAACAATATTTGTGCAGCATCTTAATAATATATTTTATTCTGTTATTGCAATAATGTCATTTACTTAACATTGGGCTACTTAACACGAAAAAGTATAAAATGTTCAAGTACATCGAAAAATTAGATGTCAGTTGCGCCTATGACTACTATTAAATAAAAATTGATACGTATATTACATTTATTGTTACTGAACGTAATGCTGATATTGTTAATTTAGCGATTTATTACGTTTTTTTAATTACTTGCACAGTATGTATTTACTGTACCATTCATTTATTTTTTAAATAACTATTTAAATGTGGGTATTTCAAATTCAATTTAAAATCCGTTTTATCTTTAATCTTAGAATAATCGAAAAGAGCAAGTCATAATGTTTACACATACAGCCATAAACTTTTTTGTCCGCATTTTCTAACAGGCTTATCATTATCAGTACTACATACTATAATATAAAGCATTTTTTCACCCTGTTATATATAAACCAGTGATTTTCAAACTGTGGGCCGACTCCTCTTCACAATTTTGTACAAGATTTGCAATTAATTGAAAAAATAAAGAAAGACGTCAAAACTGAAAAAATATTTTTAATTTTTGTGTGATTTGTTTTTACTTGACCCTGTGACCTGCATAAAAGAAGTAAAATCGCCAGCACAAAATATTCGTTAAAAAAATTATGAAAAAATGTTCAGCGCTAGCCTTAGGGGAAGGTTTTATTTAGGTGAGCCACTACAGACTGCACTGTCTACTACTTTTGTTTTTAGTAATCCTTTTTAAGTATGAGCCAGAGAATCGACACTAATTATCGATATGAAGTATCATTTTTTGAAAACCTAAACAAATCTTAAAATTTGCTGAGACTCGCCAAGGATACTGAAAATTTTAAATACCAAAGGTGCCTACACAAATTTTACTTATTTTTATCCCTTATTTACGGAAAATTTTAATTAAAATAAATAGGTCAAGACGAAAAAGTTTGCGAACCGCTGGAATAAATAAATAAAAGTTCTTGATAAAAAGTATGAATCAAAGACATGTTAGAGACAGTACGCTACGTAATATGTTTACAAATGCAGCCAATCTCTACGAAGGCGCAGGAGAGACATTTAAAAAATGTTTATTTTTCCTTAAAAAATATTAATTTCGTGTTATGAATCACGAATTTAATAACTTATTTACAAAAAATTAAATTTCCCTTACACGTAGATATCATATAAATATAAAAAGTTACCTAGTTTGGTTTTCAGCCACAGTACAGAGGTCATAATCATTATTTTCTTATTGCACACTTAGGTAGCACGTAAATTGAAATCTAAATACAAAAAAAAATTTATTAACAACAAAGTAATTGTATACAAATTTCTACTCACACTGTAACATTAATGTCATCATGTCTAAAAATATACACAAGTTGACACTTGTACACTCAATTCATGTTAGTCGGAATTAAGTAATGATTTAAATTATTAAATGTAGTATCGTCGTCTGCCATATAGGCAACCCACCGCTCTACAAAGTAACAGTGTTGCCTCCTTCGTTTTCAAAAAAGGTTTCAGTATATTTATAAGTACATAATCTTTGCATGTGACGACTCACAGCTACTTTAATACACTGAGGTCCTTTAGTAACAGTTTCTGAGTAGCGATTGAAATAAAGAGCGTACAAATTCTTAATTGAGGAGAAACACCTAACAATTATAGTAATTTATACAACCAAGAACTTATCTAATTATCAGTCGTTGTATATTATTAGTTTGAAGTCCTTGAGCTACTTGGGCGGGGGTAGTAGAAAAAAGATTAATTGGTAAACTCCACACCATAGTTTCAATTGGTAGTTCTGTGGGGGCTTGCCAACCAGCCTGATTTAAATCAGGACCTTCTAGGGTCTTGCTCATTGTAGTAACAAATTCAAAGTGCAACCTCCATTTTAAACTAACTAAAATTATATCAAACATGATAGATTTCTCGTTAGTAATCACTGACCAAGCATTAATTAAACAAACCACGATCAGTTAATTTACTCAAACATCCCTGATGAACCTTTCGGGGTTTTCCGAATTTTCTGCATATTTGAACACATGTACCTTTCGTTTGTTACATACCTTTAACCCACGAAAACAATTGTTTATTGGCTTTTAATTTGAAAGGTGAAATAAATCCAAAGTGCAAAAAATGTTATACAACCCGCAAAATTTCCTAATTGTATTTATGACTCTCAAAAGATACAATTTTGTGTAGTTTATTGTAAAAGATTTGTTAATTAACTTTAATAAAAACAACATAATTGAAGATGAAATTAGTAAAGCAACAAATTTACAAAATGCTCAATTTAACTTCTGGGATATAGGTATTGTGTTTATGTTTCTGTGAAAATTAATTAAAGATATCCACTTTCAAATTAAAAGTCTACTTATAGCGTTAATTGAGTTAAAATTACATAAATTTTTATTAATTTTTGATAGAATTGAAAACTATACTGTTGCCTTACCTAATGGAGTAGCAAATGCAGGTGTGACATGTAATGGAATTGGAAGTATGAGTTGTGTATATTTGAAACCCAGACATACTTCATGATGTTTGCTAAATGTAATAATTCGAGATCTTTTCAATTTTCCTATGTTTCGTTGTTCTACATTAGTTTCCTCTTCACATTGCAAAGATACTGATACTTGCACACAAGGTACAGTTGCCACAGTGAAGTCAAAAGCACCAATTATGTCCTCCCCTAATTTGTATGTAGGTTTAAATAAACAAAAACGTGTTACCTTGCCTCTAGTATTTGATATCATGTAAAAATTAGGATTCCTTCTAGCTGTTATATTCTAAAACAGTAGAAAAATTACATACTTCTCATACCAAGTTCTTTCAAGAGGAACTAGAGTAAATATTACCTGTAATGTTTGGAGTGTAATATCAAATGGAGTTTCTTTTTGTCTAACTTCTAAAAAAGGATTTGCTGGAGCTAAATCTTCAGTTGTATCATTGCAAAACCCTCCTAATTCATTCAGGGCACTTGTACTTACAGGGAGAACCCTAATGGGTACTTTTAATAATTTAACAGGGCAGTTAACCCTTTGAGTACCAATCAAAATTTTATAAGAATACTTCACCAACTGACCTCTATAGGAGGGTGGTGAATCACTAGGAATCTTTTCTCTAAACACATCTGTTAATGAAAAATAACAACAGTTGCTACACAGTAAATCATAGTCACAGACTCACATGTCTTTGCCTGCCCTGGTGATAGTTGGAGATCACAGAAAAGTATTCTCGGTTTTGTTGAAACAACGATTTGCCCACCTTCTGATGAGGTTGATAGAGCTGTGCTGTTCAGGGCAAATTCATAATTTAAATTGTCCTCTTTTTTATTGACCCGAGCGTCTGTAGTACAAATACACTGTATTTGAGCTGAAGCCCATGCCAAACTTTCAAAAATATCGTTATGACTTTGAGAAACTTTATGTGATGGTGATAGAGGATGCGTAACAGAAATTGTGCACTCAACCGTCTCTCCAGAAAGATAAACTGGACCATGTATTAATCGCACTGTTATCTCCAGCATTATAGGCTCCTAATTATTTACTATTAAGATAATCTTAAACAACGGAATAAACTAAAAAACTATAAAACACTTGCAGTTTTTTAACTGTTTTTACTAACAAGTAAAAAGTAAAGCATTATTTTGACATTTAAATGCTGGTAGATCAAATTAAATTGATTAACGATTGGCAAATTTGAACTACTGGAGGTAGTTGCAAAAGTTTTATTAAACGTCAAACCTGCATTGCTGATAAAACAAACGGTTTATGTCACTTTAAGAGGTTAAACGTCTACAATCATTATTTATTATTGTTCAAATTATTCTCATTAATAAGTATATTTACATTAAAACCAATGTGGTCTTTTTTTTCCCGCGATTCTTCCAAAGATTTTGGTTTTGAAATAGGTGAAGTTGTTCCCGGTTTTGAGCAAAGAAGTGTGTGGACTTTACATAAGGGTAAGAAAAAAGGGACCAATGAAGAAGTGTCTGTGTTTGTTTTCGATATTAAAAGTGGCTCAGAAACACAGTTGGATGTAGCAAAATCGGCAGTTAAACGTTTAAAAACACTTAGACACCCTAGTGTCTTAACTTATTTAGATAGCTTGGAATCGGATAAGGTACTTTACTTAGCTACAGAATATGTTGAACCACTGGCTTTTCATTTAGAGAAATTAAAAATTAATGATGCACAGAAAGACTTGTACACTGCATGGGGAATTTTCCAAATAACTGTGAGTAAATAATTACAAATAGATAGTAATTCTTAGGAGTCAAAATTATGCTAAAACATATTTTAGAGAGCATTATCTTTTTTAAATAATGATGGTAACCTACGGCATAACAACGTTAATATTTGGTCAATTTTTGTGAATACAGCTGGAGAATGGAAGTTAGGTGGAGTAGAATATGTAGGCAACACACAAGATAACTTTGGTTCAATAAAAATAATTCCTTCTTTAGAAATATATGATCCTCCAGAAAAAAGTGATCCCAATAAACAGCGTCAAATTACGAAATGGTACAAATTGACTTTTTATTACAAAATTTACAAAACTAACCGGTTTAAATTGCAGTTCTTCTGATATGTGGGGCCTAGGATGTTTAATTTGGGAAGTTTTTAATGGACCTTTGCAGCAACAGTCATCATTAAAGAACCTGGAAAGAGTAAAGTGTGTGTAAATTTATTCATCTTGTGTCTATCTCTTATATTACAGATACCAAAACAACTTAGTCCTTTATATTGTGAATTAGTTGGTGCTAATCCTGCCTCTAGACCTAACCCCGCTGACATTATAACCCGTTGTCGAAAATTAGGAGGGTATTTTAAAAATGACCTGGTAGACACCCTGCTCTTTTTAGAAGAAATTCAAATTAAGGATAAAAATGAAAAAAATAGATTTTTTTCTAATCTTACACCACACTTGGATAACTTTCCTGATAATATTTGCAAACACAAGATATTACCTCAATTGATAACTGCTTTTGAATATGGAGATGCAGGATCTGCTGTCTTAGCACCCATGTTTAAGGTGCCCTATAATATTTTACTTACTATTATAAGAAGTGTATATTGTTTTAATTTATGAAAATATTTGGATAAAAATTACATAAAATTTCAGCTTGGAAGATTATTAGATGAAATAGATTACCAGAAGAAAATTGTACCTTGTGTGGTGAAATTGTTCGCTAGTAATGACAGGGCAACGAGGTCTCGACTACTTATGCAGTTGGAGCACTTTATAGGTCATTTGCAATCGGTTACCGTGAACGATCAGATATTTCCCCAGGTGGCCAACGGTTTTATGGACACAAATCCAACTATTCGAGAACAGACTGTTAAAGTAAGATAAGTGGAAGATAAAACACTAATTAAATCAACTAATTTGTTTTATAATACTTTTGCAGTCTGTGATACATTTAGCACCTAAGTTAAATTATAACAACCTGAACGTTGAAGTTTTACGACACTTTGCGAGACTCCAGGCTAAAGACGACCAAGGAGGGATAAGAACAAACACGACCGTGTGCTTAGGAAAAATTGCACAACATCTTCATCCACAGATAAGACAAAAAGTACTCATTTCTGCTTTTGTTAGGGCCATGAGAGACCCTTTTCCACCAGCTAGAAACGCAGGTTAATTTTGACTATTGTATATTAAGTTCACGTTAAATCGAAAACGTTAATCGTTAATAGCCGCTATTTATTCAGTTAAATATTTTTTTGACTTACTATTTATTTATTTTTTATAGAATTTAAATTATTGACGGTGCTGATTTTGTAGAAGTGCGCACTTGAAACAAACAACAAGTAAAGAAGACAATAGTAACGTTTTAGTGCTTTTTTGTGATTGTAGGAGTTCTTGCACTTGCTGCAACTCAACAGTATTACCTACTTTCTGAAGTTTCAACAAGAATTCTTCCTGCTCTCTGTCAACTGACGATGGATCCGGAAAAGTCGGTGAGGGATTCGGTATTTCGAACGATTAAAGGATTTCTTGGTAAATTAGAAAAGGTATCCGAAGATCCAAGTCTACGCGAAAGTATGGGTAAGTTTTATAAGATAATAGTAGTAGTAGTAGTAATAAATTATGTTGAAACTGTTTTCTATATTTACCTCAGAAGCAGACGTGAATACAGCAACGCCCAGTTTAAGTAATGCAGCGGCTACGTGGGCAGGTTGGGCAGTAACCGCGGTAACTGCTAAATTTTATAGAAGTCAGTCAGATACTGCTAAATCCATGACTCCAATGGCCAGCAAAATCCTCAGTAAACCGGCTTCTTTAGGTAAATTACTCATTCATATAATGTACTTGTTTGGTCATTCATTAGCAATAATGTGTTAGTTTTGCTACTTAATTGTTTTCCTTTTGTTTTATATCATTAGAACAACCATCCAGTAGCAGCTTATCTACTACAACCTCAAGCGTCACGTCAATGACGTCCCTCGAACATGAAGAAGGCAGCAGGGGGAACGAGTCAGTTTCTGATTATGATTACGACAACTGGGGAGAAGAAAATTGGGGCGATATGGAGGTAATAATAAAAACTGAAATATCCTACATCCTTTTCTTTTTCGGAACTGTAGTCTAATCTAGGTCTTCCTCTGCCCCTCTACACTACTGTTTTTACTTCTAACATGTCTCTAACTAGTCCTTCCATTATTCTCTCCTTTCCTTATTGACTACCATAGAGCCCACCGTTCACGTTTCGCGCCCATATGGAGCCGTGCTGTTATTAGTAGTACATTTGTTGGGTTTTGTTATTTTAGTTTATTTCTTGAATAACGATATAATTGTATATTTTTTTATTTTAGACGGGAGGTCAAATGCAAAGCAGTAGCGGAAGTGGCGGAGGGGGTGGTACCAGTGATCCTACAAGCCCTCCTTCCGGGTCAGCGCCTGCTAGAACTACTGACGGCTGGGACAATGAAGAGTGGGGAAGTCTCGAAGAAGAGCCAGTAAGATTGCATTAAACAACTCGCGTTGAAATGTTTGTTTCCACAATAACAACTCTAAATTTTGTTTATTCCAGTTAAAATTTTTATTTACGTTTTTATTCATTATTCCTTTAGGAATCGGAGACAGGCGTGACATCTCCTTCGGAAACGTGGAATACTAGTGAATTTAATCCGGTGCCCGAAACTCATCAAGATCATAGTCAGTCGGTAGTGAATCGGAAGTTGACGAATTCAGGCTGGAACGATACAGATTTTGAGCCAATGGACGATGTCAGTAACCACAATGGCGCCAATTCAAAGCTCGAGGAAGCTAAGAAAAAGAGGGAGGAACGTAAATTAATGCGTCAAAAGGAGTTGGAAGCCCGTCGAGCCAGTCGAGGTACCACTGGTCCGATGAAACTCGGCACGAAGAAGATTTAAACGGACCTAGAGCCTCAAAGACTGGTCTAACTTTTTCTTCCAAGACCGCGTCACCTTTATGTTGGTAAGTGTTTGCTATTATAATAATATTGCGCCGCTCCCGTTTAATGTCCGAACAGAAAATGAAAATTACCTAGTTCTAAAGATATTTCTGAGTTTGTTAATATTTTATTCTTCATTTAACAACTGAACTTTTAAACTTAATATGTGCTTTAGTTATTTTGTTATTTAATTTGTCGGACAATTTGTATATTTTTTATCAACATATCTACCAGCATTTTACTGGGTAATTTATCTTTGAGATTAAAAAACATTATGTCAATGGTGAAGTGAGAAAGGTGATTTCACAGATGTGTATATTTACTCAATGTGAGATTTAATTATTTGTCTTTAATTTTTGGAAATGTTTATACTTTTAGATATTTATACTGTTGACGTTTTACCTTCTATATTTTAAGGTCACTGACGATTTTAACTAGATTATTATTAACTATAATTTAATTGCAACATTTATACTTGTAATTTTTAGTTATGAAATCTGTACCAAAATGAATTTTATTATTAAAAGAGCCTTATGAATTTAATTTTTTTAAATTAACGTGCGCACATGATAACATCACATACATTTATTTTACAGAGCACTTATATATTTTTAATACGATTTATTCTTAAATAAGTGATTATTAATTAATTAAATAGTGATAATGGTAAATAATCAGTGACTAGTACCTTTGAGGATTCTGCAAATTCTGCAACATTTTTCTCATTGTTCAGTGGTGATAGTAATAGCAGTGGTCCTGCAAAAAGCGAGAACAATAAATAGTTTCTAAAAGACATGATACGAAACAATATTTAAAGAAAGTTTTTTTAAACTTTAGACTGGCTTGCTGATAATTTACTGGCCCTCTTTGAAATTATTAGTATAAGCTATTGCTCCATTATTTATTTTTGCTGAAATGAAATCAAAAGCTTAAAATATAAATATAAGAGCAAAACGTTAAGACATGACGTTTGTAATAAAAAAAATAATAATCAACTAGCTTATAAATTTACTTTATGTTATTGACAATTTATCAAACGTCATTAACCACCGATAGTTAAGACTGTCCCCTTTGGCGATTGATTTATTTATTTAAAAATTTTTGTTTTTTTTCTCTTTCACTAAAAATACAACATGCCTCTGAAGTCGGAGTACAAGGCATACGATTTTGTGAATAAATGTCAAATGGACACTTCATTACCACGGAGAAAACGCATCGTGTCGCATCCTAATAAAGCCTACGAAAAACGACACCACCATCATTATCAGGGACAAAACCGAAAATATCAAAGGAGTAACATTGAACATCCGGCTATCAATAGAACCGGCTCCGATAAGCTGCACGAAATGTTAATCCAACAAAACCCGAATTACAATAGTAATAGTAATGATTTTCATGTTCAACCCTACAGAAATCCACAATACGCATATCAGACTAACATTCAACAACAGTACTATGGCCAACAACAGCAGTATCCCTCGAATCCCAATAATCGTTTCGCAGGTCCGTGTTATCCTCAATGTGGAGACAACAGATATATGCAAAGGCCAACTCCACACGGCTACAACAACTATCCTCAACAACAAAATAATTGCGAAGATTGTTGGCATCCTAATAATAACATGTATCCCCATCGAGGTAACATGCAATACCCCCATTACAATCGCCCTGAAACAGCACCACAACACTCCAACATGAAATACTTCGGAAGTAATCAATATAATCAACAGAAAGAATGCAACGTATGTAATTTAAATCCTCAAAACAGAAACGAATGGTACGCCATGAATCCGCAAGGAATTCTTAAAATTAACCAACCAAATCAACCCCAACAGTTTATGCTAGGTAAGAATTTCTCAACCGTTCAGGCACCGAATACGAAAGAAATCACGATAAACAGTAATTGCCTAAAAGAGACGAAAGAACCTCAAGAAATCCTGATTAAGGACCAACATGGCGTACCTCAGGGCATTTTAAAATATAATAGACGCACAGCGAAAAAACCTCCTCCTCAATCAAACGATGCGCCACCGCTCGAAACGAATGAAGCTAATAATGATGAGTCTAAAATAGAAAAAGTAAATGCAGGTACCACTACAAGTGAAAATGCTGAAAACACTGACCCCCAACCTTCGAAGAAGAGTAAATGTAGTTGGAGAGTCGAAAGACTATCTCGACCAAAAACGTGTATCTATTAATATTTATTTTTAACGCCAAGTCGTTTCAATATGTTGCTAGTGTAACTGTTTAATATACCCAAAGTATCGGTTTGATGTAATGCAATTATTTTAGTGAAGAATTTAGCAATTTATTTGTTTAGAAAATTATGTAAAAATAACAGAAGTCTCAAGTTGCAAATTTTAATATCGTTTCTAAAACGAACGAAGGCAAAGATGAGACTTGAAACACCTAGTATGTAACAGTAGTTTTACTTACGTGGATTGATTTTCGGATGCTGCATAACTTATGGTGGGAAACTTCACCAAAACGCTCGTGATGAAAATTTTCTTAAAGTTCTTCCTGAAAAGTCTGTTCATGCAGCAGTACAAAATAAAATTTATTGAACCGTTTGATAAGGCGAGTATGTCCAAAACTTCGCCAAGTTCTTGGTAGCACTTGAGAAAAAAGCATTTCCCTTTCATTCCCATCATGAGTCCTAAAATCGCTTGGGGGAATTCGGTGAAAAGGAAAAGCATGAGAACTGCAATCAACATTTTCGTCGTTTTGTCCGTTTTCTTATGCGTTCTTTCTTTAAATCCTCGCGCTAAACGGTAATTGTAATTTTTCAAAAGATGTCTTCGACTTTTGGTTTTCAATAATTTTTTTATTAACCAAATTGTTATCACAGTCAATAAAAGGCAGGGAATTAGTTTAATAAAGACTGCATATAACCAAAAGTTAACGACAAGGTATGTGATATTTTCTACCCCCAAATCACTAAGAGCTGTGTGATACAGGGTGTACTCTTTATCTTCGACTACTGTAGTGGCTCTTATTTTCAACATAAAAAACGAAGGACTGCACAAAATTATAGAAAAAACGTAGCACGTATTAATTGCCATGGTACACCGTTTATCTGCACACAATAGGCTGTTCTTTCCTGGACATCTAAAAATTAGGAATTGAGTTGATAAAGTGAAAGTGTAAAATTTTATTATTATTATAAATACGTACCCTATGATAATGTATCTCCATGTTGCAAGCGTAACAGTAAGGCAGATGGAAACGGTGTGAACAATTTGTGTAAAATGTGTATGTATTAATATGAAAACAGCTCCCCAATATGGAAAATTCATCTCTTTTGGTAGATGTATGTAGTAGTACCATGCAAAGAAAATGTACTCGACCATAACAAGCATATCGGAAATTGCCAGGCTCTTCAAAATCCTGTTTATCGGAACGGTTACCATGTCTTTTGAGTTCAGAACTGTTACATTCAGTATATTGGATATTGTACCGAATATGCAAATAGTTATCGCAACAAAGCCATGATAATATTTTGCATAGGTGCTTGTAAAGTTTTGAATGAACCAACTGTCGCATTCTTCACATACACTGGTAAACGACGAATCGTCTTCGTAGCTATTGTTAAGAATCTTTTCTTTCACAATACTTAACAACGTATAATTAAAATGTGATATATTGGAGTGATGATCAAGAGATTTTATTATGCCAAAGTCATCCATGCTCAGCTGTATCTAAAAATGTTACTTAATTAGTATTAGTCTAAAATAAAACCAAATTTAAATAATTACAATAAATTAATTAGGTTCAATTCCATCGGTAGAAACTCTCGCATGTGATAATAGAATGTTTGTCTATAGATTTTTATCACCAAGCGATACACAGTCAACTCAAATATTTACCCAAAAAAATTATCGTCTAGTAATGTACTTACTATAAATAATATAAATAGTATTAAAAGCAGAAACGTTTGCAATAATTCGACCAATAGTCCTGCCACTCAATTTACATAAATAAATTAAACATTGTTTTATTTTTTGAAATCAGTAATGCTTTCTTTAAAGAAAAAAGAACAAACACACCAATGCATAGGTACCACAAACTTCTTTGAATACCGAACAAACTGTATTACCATAATTAAAACAAGTATTTTGGCATCACAAAAATCATGCTATTGAAATACTTTTACATATATTTAAACTCGTAATGTTCATCTGCCTACCTTAATATTTTTTGCTTTCGGTAAACTCACATAAAAGCACTGCCACTTAAGAAACTGTGTTGTGCAGAACCATCCCTTGAAACTCCTTATTAGCGAGAGATGCGCATGATTCTTTTCGAAATTCACCTACCGGTGTGATTACATAACATTTTGTTTTATTTGCTTTTGTTTATTGTAATTTGCAAAAAAGTCATAATAAGCTTTTTTTTTAATTAGCAGCAATAATAGTTTGCTGGCAAGTTCGTAATATGCAAGATAAACAGCACTATAACGATATGTACGAAATTGACGTTACGCAAGCTTCATGCTTTATTAAACTTATAGGAGATAAGGATTTGTAGTATCGGCTATTAATACATTTAATTAATATAATTTTACTATGAACTTTGTTATTAAAATAACGTTCATATCAGAATTCCAATTGGCCTTTACTAAAGTCATACAATTTATTCTTATCAATCAAAATAATTATCGAATGCGATATATAATGTAACTCATATGTATGCACTAAATTACATTTTATTATTGCATACTATTTAAATTAAAGTTACTCTTTTTACTAACAAAAAAAAATTTAAATAAAAAATAGCAAGTTTTTTTTTTCTACCTTTTACAAAAGAATACATCGTTCATTAGGTAAAGTAAGGTGATAAATTACGGTCTTTATCGGCTAATTACTTGCAAAGTGATGGATGTCCATACTAAACATAAATTAAAAATAGTCACGTCGCGTCGTTGCAATTATGTTATTATATCGGCGACCGACCCTATTTATACAAACTCCAATAAAATCAATTAATTTAGTTAATCACTTCTATAATCGTAAAATCGCACCTTCTTTCGTCAAATACGGAACGGACTTACAAGCATCAAACGTTTTTCTAACACAGGTCAGTTAAAAAATCTTACTTTTTACTCACGAAATAAATGAAGTATAAGTGATAATATATTGTCACATATAGACAATCACCATACGTCATGAGGTATTTAATGGGTTGCGAAGATCTACCTAGTGACAAAGACCAAATTTTCTAAATCCCACATTCTGGAGTAATTCTAGAACACGTCTAGCCCCTGTGAATAATAATAAAAGAGATTGAGACAGTTTAATTCGAGTTCTAGTTACGAGACGATATAAGGTGAATTAAGAAGAGCGAAGAAGAAATAATGTGTACGATATTGTATCGAATGAATAATTAATTAGCAATAGTGGTGTTAATTAAAGAGTAAGTAGTTTAAGAAAATAGTTACTATTGCGAAGAAGTGTTTATTGCAGGACATTTGATGTCAAATGTGGATCGAAGAAATCTGGTCTTCGTTGTTACCAGCGAGGTATAGGCAACCCATTATAGGCCTATGGTGGTAGGTTGCCTGACAATATGTTGATATTAATACTTAATTTCAAATAAGTCCTAATAAAATCAATTATGATAAATAAGTATACTCCTAAGTACATTTTTATCACAGTACCTTAAGTACTTCATTGATAAAACTACAAAAAAAACATAATTAAAATCCACCTTATTTACCAAAACCCCGAAAATTTTTCACTTATCATTAGCAATAAATTGCAACATCTTATCCAAGAGGCGTTTCCGACGCGCCTGAACACATCAGCTAACACTGCCATTCTAAATCCAACGGGAACTTTTTCATACATAAAAAAAATCCCGGTCCCCTTTGTACCTATTTTTTTGATAATTGATTTTCAGGATTTTCGTATTAAAAAAAGTAAGAATTTTTTATAGAACCATGAACTGGCAAAAATTATGAAAATTAAAAATTAAAGGAACATTTGATTTAAGAAACCGATAGACAAACATTAAGGAATGTTACGAAGAACACAAACATTTAAAAACACCCACAATAGGACAAACATTAACAGAAGATTTAAAGCGTGACAAATATTAACATAAAAATAGCAAACACTAAAAGAATCTAAGGAAAAAACTAAATACAAAGGGACGCAAAAGAAATTTCACTGATTTAATGCATACTTCACTTAATTGATTGNATAGATTAATTTGCATTTTTCGCGATTACAATAGTTGTATTTGAATTTTAATTTAATAAAATAAAAATAAGAAGTTTCCTAAATAGCCTGCTATTTTTTTTATAATATATACATATTTTCAAAATAGGCAAATGTAGATAGAGCCTGAAATAACTGAATGTACCAATAATTGACAAAAGAATTTAAATATTTGATCGCTTTTGCGTATAACATTATAAAATGAATTAGATTATCTTACAATTTCGAACAAAAAAGTTTTATTGCCTCTTTAACCCTTGTGTGAAAATAAAGGCAATAACTTTGATAAGAACGGTATAAGTTAATATTTTATTAAAAATACATTAAATAACATGCATTAATTAAAATAAATTTAGGTATAGTTAGGGTTTCATTTGATGATAGAGGCTCCAAACACCAATGCCGAATTAAAAGAAACCGATATGCTCATTTAAAAAATCGATGAAAAATATGGTCTCACTATTTTCATTCAAGGCATTGGTGTAGCAATGGCCCTTTAAAAAATAATAGTACTGATTATAATAGTAACGACAATAAAAAGTCCAATTGGAAAGTAAAGGCTGCAATTAGCTGCCAAATACCATTATCACTTATATTAGGTACTAGAGTGTAACACACTTGAACGATAGCTAGTAGTACAGTAATAATTAATTGTTACAAGTGTTGTTATCACACAACGGTTACAAAAAACGTTGTAGAATTTTTGGAGCATTTCATAATAACGAGGGACGGGTCTTTTTTCCGTGGGTCGACGGGCTCGGAAAAATACAAAAGAAATTTTTTTGTGGACTTTCGAACCTACGGAATGAACATCGACTATCTATAAATATCGTGTACCATTACTAAATTACAAACTCATCCTTCCAAATTTAACATTACAAGACTACAACAAATGCTTCAGCTACTTATCAAATAGTATGTTATAAATAACTAATATCAGTCGGTTTACACATGAAAGAGACCAGAAATGTTTAACATACATTACAAAAAAATCTAATAACACTACATTATATACCCTTATGGAAAGTTGTTATAATTGAATTGTAAACTTAGCCAAGTTTTAGTTAAAGGAGAATTTGGCCATATTAAGAATTTCAACATAAATTTTTAAAATTCAACTGAACAAGTAACTTTTGTCCTCAGTCCTAGGACTTTTATTTATAGCAAATTTTAACCGAATAAGTAACTTCCGTCCTAGGACTTTTACTAATTCTTTAGGTGCTTTTTAAAATTATCCGCCAGTTTCATTTTCTTTTCTTTGGAAATTTTCGTTATATTTTAATAACCAAACAAACCACTTGCCATTTGGTCAGTAATTTGTTTCCAACTGTTTAAAGATATTCTTCCAAAAAAATAATCATTTTAAAATTGTTAACTGATCACCATGTAATTATCATAAATGATATTTTAAAGTTATTGCACTTTTTCCTCCTCCTTGAATAAAAACTTTTTAGTTACCATATTATTGTTAATTTTAAAAATATGAAACAAGAATAGGAATATCTTTATATTCATAAATATATATATTATTATTATTATTATTATTACGTTAAACATGGGACGTATGATTTATTTACAAAACGTTCAAGTTCGATTTAAAATATATAGATGATTAATATGGTAATCAATATCGAACTTTTCATCTTCACCTTTCATAGAGCAGTACGAAATGAGCTATTTAATAATTAAATATCAAGCATACAACTTATTAATTTGTTTGCTTGATGTTAACAATAATTGGACTATTTTAGATGATCATTCCATCTTCCAGAATATATCACACCAATACTTTAGTTACTGTTCGTAATAAGGACCATTTAACGTCAAATATGTAACACTGCATCACTGTTACATGTTTCCTCCGTCAAAAATGTATATATAATATAGATTTATGCATATATTTACTATTTAATTTCGTATTTTAGAATTTATTATTGTGCACCTATAGAGACGATCCTTATTTCATTTAATATTAATAACCACCACCTATAATGGAACAGCTTAATTTTTTTGCATCAAACGAGCAGCTATTTTAAATTCTGCCACATTGCAGAGTAGATAACAACAACAATAAATAATAAAGAATTTTCCCAAGATAAAATGGGGAAGGTTAGTAATACACATAACAAATACCTGTACTGACGTATTTTACTCCTTAATACGTTCTTTTGAGATGAACCAGACGTCCTTTTTTTTGTCTTTCATTCCATAAACAGGTGTGACCTTCGCGTCGGTTAATGGTTGTTGGAGCTCCGTTTGCCGTTTCGTGCAAGAGAATGCACACGGTTTACAATTTAAATAGCGTCGTGATGAACGCAACCAGGTAAACGAAGGGGCGTGATCTGGGCTAGAACATGTCACGGGTAGAACGGCCACCACCTCTCTGGTAATTACGGACACCTGGACGCCGAGCATTACGTATCTCTCGATCGACTTCGAGGTCCTCCAACCGTTGCGTTAAACTTAACTTTTGCTGAACCGCCAGCCGAAGAAGTTGGTTCAATGTTTTCTTTTCCTCTTCGGCCGCATTGAGTTGCTGCTGAAGTTCGTCAACTTGCGTCACGTACTCTTCGCAACGAGCGGCAAACATCGCCCTCAAACCTACAAAAAAAGTGTTAAATGGCTCCTAAATTTAAACTATTACGTGTAACATTTGATAGCCAAGTTACATTAAAAACTTCATATCCTAAAACAATCGAGCTTACATATTTTTAATTTTAAAATTTTATGTTTAAAAAAATATAGAACTTACAAAGACAGAATTTAATTCCCTAAAAAAATGTTTGTAGTAGTAGAATATCGTAAGAGGAAACTTCTACAAAATTAGAACTCCTTTGAAATTCTTTATATAGTAAATGGATTATGAAGTGTATGTGAATAGGAAATTATACATATTTTCCATTCTTCCCCTGATTTTACACCGAATGTAAATTATTTATGTGTTAAGGGTAAAGTACTCACTTGAGAATGTTGCAGCATCTTCTTTAAGATGCCTTAATTCGTTTCTCAAATTCATCATAGTTTCAGACACAATAGTCTTTTCATTTTCATATTTGGCCTTCAAATTATTGAGTGCTACCTCAGCAGTGTTCTTGTTAGATTTAAGGACGGTACGAAGTGTAGCAATTTGCTCCCTTTTTGTGGACAACAAACTTTTCAGACGGATTACTTGTTCCTGCAGTTCGGCTATTTCGGCCTCTGCATTTTCATCTTTAATAGCTGCAACAAGCAAAAGAATATAACAACTCCAACCATTAATAACTACTTATGTAAAAAACAGATCAAGTTGAAGCAGATATTTACAGTCGTATTTTTCTGTTGTATGTTCTTTCTTCTTAGACATGTCAATGGTGCTTTCTATGGCAGTACGGAGATGTTTCACTTGGTCAATAATGATGCCGACCTGTTTGGCTACATTTTCAGTGTCGTTCAAACTGTCCAAGTCGTTCAGAGGAATGTCACTTTTCAGTTTGCTTCGAAGCATCTCTATCTTCGACATTTCACAAATTGGTCTAGCAGTTTCACACACTGTAAAAAAGAAATATTTTCACTATTGTACGGTAAAATCAGAAAGGTCGTTATTTTTTTTTAAATATTCTGTTAATGTTTTAAAGATGAAACTGGCTATCTGATTAAATGTAATTTAAAAGACAGCCACATAAAAGAAAGATGAATATCAATAAAGACGAAGAAAATTTAAATTGAAATCTTTTAAATAATTCTCACCAGGCGTCATTCCCTTTTCATGTTCCAATACAACACGATCTGGAGTCTTTCCGTTAAANGTATTAAAAAAAGTAAGAATTTTTTATAGAACCATGAACTGGCAAAAATTATGAAAATTAAAAATTAAAGGAACATTTGATTTAAGAAACCGATAGACAAACATTAAGGAATGTTACGAAGAACACAAACATTTAAAAACACCCACAATAGGACAAACATTAACAGAAGATTTAAAGCGTGACAAATATTAACATAAAAATAGCAAACACTAAAAGAATCTAAGGAAAAAACTAAATACAAAGGGACGCAAAAGAAATTTCACTGATTTAATGCATACTTCACTTAATTGATTGCAAAGTATTCACTAAATGCAGTAAAAATCCCTTTTTAAAGCTTGGATTTAGGATAACTAGTGTTAGCGGCTAATTGTCAGGAGGGACCCCCCGAAGCCGTAGGCGTTTCGTAGCGGATTATCATGGAATTAGAATTCCCGGGTTCGATTTTGTAACCAATTCCTTTATAGAAAGGAATAAGAGGATCTTTACAGTCTAGAGACATCTTGTAACAGCCCAACTTCTTCGCTAATAAGGATACTGTTAGTACTATCCTATAAAAAAATAGTAAGTAACAACTATACAATATTAATTTATAACATTAGAGCTTTTCTTACAATTTTCCTAATTGTTTTCCCCTATAAGTATTATTTACTACGACATCTTCTAATCTTCCCCTAAGACCACAGTCGTGAATGAATTTATACTCGGTAATTAGGGTAGCTGCCCCTATTATTTTTCTATCACGAGTATCTTCTATTACAGTAACATAATAGCCTCCTGCTTTCATCATTTCCCAGAACTGACCTGATAAAAGAAAACAGAAATTCAATAGTATAGTAATTAAAATGTTTAGATAAATTGACAAGGTATTCTAAATATGTTATATTTTATAAACTAAATTAAACTGTGCATTATGAAGGTCATAGTTAACTAATTCTTTTTATTTCAATTACAACCTTCTAGAAGGTCAACAGCTACCACATTTCAATAGAATTCCATTTATTCCACTTTCCTTCTCCAAATTACATTAATTTAGTTTTGATCAAAAACTCTTTCTGATAAAAATAATTTATGAATAACAAGCAAATACATTATTTATCAATCCAGCAAATAAAAAAATGGAAGATTTATTAAGTAGCAAATTACTGCTATCAATTAAAATTTCCAATTTCTCTGTAAAAATGGGCATCAGAAATCATGAAGTTTTACCGATTATATCTTATCTTAACTGATAAGTTTTTCAGATAATGTAGTCCTTTCTAAACACAGCTATTCAAGTTTTATGATATCCCAATTTTTTTAAAGAACCTTTATAGTAAAAGCAACCATATGGAAACGTAAAAATATAATTGTCATAGTTAAACAGATTTGAAAGATTTAAAGAAGTACCTACGTTCAAATGCTGATCTTGGTATATTTCCTACAGTTGTTAATTGCGATAATATTTGAAGAAGTCCTTTATCATAGTCTTCTAGTTGTAAAGGTCTTACCAAAAGCCATGGTTCACCGGGATTTTCATTTGTTATAAATGGATTCAAGTAGCCCCTTACACTTTCCCAATCTAAATTTTGTAGGAGTGCTGGATTATATAAATAATTCCCACTCTGGGGATTCTAAAAATACAAACAGTCAATCAATTATGGTTATTTCTTTTTAAAATAAGCGTTTGTAGCACAGATTTGCACATTTGCAATTAATATTTAATTAAAATAACCATCAAATAATTCAATTAAAAATTACATACCTTTTTTGAAGCCCCCATGTGGCTTAAACTTCAGAAATGCGACAACTGAAACAAACTGTGTCACCTATTGTAAGTTTCTGATAAAATTATAATTTGTTAACCATTCAAATTGCTACATGAAATTAGATTACCTTGGAAAACTACTTTCACATCTCAATATTTCTTTGGCATATTGAGTAACACAGACTTACACTAACATATGGTACAAATAGTAAATATATTTTTATATCCTACATACTTGCTTTTTCTCATTAAAGTTAGTGTTAAATATTTAAAAAAAAAACTCATAACTGACCATTAACAAAGTAAATAACAAACGTAGAGAATTATAACTTTACATAATAATTTTACTAGTAAATTCACACCATCAGTTATTAGATAAATGTTACTGAGCAAATCACTTGATAATAAAGAAATGTTGTATAAACATTAAATTTCCTGATTTTCATAAATATTGTACTTTTGTCTAATAGTGCAGCACGAAAAAATGAAGAATATTACCTTTAAAAAATTATATCCTAAATAGCTTACGTAGTACAATACACTTTTAAAAAGTAATTTTAACTTAATTTAAATTAAAATCACTGCAATGCACGCTATTCATATTCTGACATTGTTTGACATTTTGAATTCTTGACCATAGGCATTCTTGGCCATTGCTTGACATTTTCTTGACGTTATGTGGTGTCTGTATAATCGTCTGCAATCAATTGCTCAATTATTTTGGAATAAATATTTCTTTAACATTTTATGCATAATTTCCATATATGAACTAGCACGTTTGCTTATTTATTGTAGATACATGAAGAGTAATTAAACTGCTTAATTGAATGTTCTATCATTAATAGCATTTTAAAACCGACATGAACTCAACTGTGATCCATATTTATACGTAATATATCTATGAGACTATTTTTGTCAAGTGCAAAGGCGAGAGAGTTTGTTTTTGTTGAAGTTTTGTGCATGTTTTGTGGTTGGTTGGTGTTTCTCTGAAGAAAGGGATTTCTTTAAAAATGTCCACCCTTGAAGATAAAGCGATTTGGGATGATGGAGAAGAAGCCCTGGGCGAAGAAGTTCTGCGTATGTCTACCGATGAAATAGTAAGTCGAACTAGACTTCTGGACAATGAAATCAAAATTATGAAGAGTGAGGTTATGAGGATCAACCATGAGTTGCAAGCTCAAAATGAAAAAATTAAAGAAAATACAGAAAAAATTAAAGTAAACAAGACTCTTCCATATCTCGTTTCAAATGTGATAGAATTATTGGATGTTGATCCTCAAGAAGAAGAAGAGGATGGGGCAGTTGTGGATTTAGATGCACAAAGAAAAGGGAAATGTGCAGTAGTTAAGACATCTACTCGTCAGACTTATTTCTTACCAGTAATTGGCCTAGTTGACGAAGAAAAATTAAAACCAGGAGACTTAGTGGGTGTTAATAAGGATTCATATCTAATACTAGAAACTCTGCCTGCTGAATATGATGCTAGAGTTAAAGCTATGGAAGTCGATGAAAGACCAACCGAACAATATTCAGATATAGGTGGTCTTGATAAGCAAATACAGGAATTAATAGAAGCTGTTGTATTACCTATGACCCATAAAGAAAAGTTTATAAACCTAGGGATTCATCCACCTAAAGGTAATTAAGAAAAATGTTTCTATTGTTAATACTAAACTTATTATCTTTAGGGGTCTTACTGTATGGTCCTCCTGGTACTGGCAAAACGCTATTAGCCAGGGCATGTGCTGCACAAACCAAATCAACATTTCTCAAACTAGCAGGACCTCAACTAGTACAGATGTTCATAGGAGATGGAGCTAAATTGGTTCGAGATGCTTTTGCATTAGCTAAGGAAAAAGCTCCTGCAATTATATTTATAGATGAACTTGATGCTATTGGAACAAAGAGATTTGATTCAGAAAAAGCTGGTGATAGAGAGGTACAAAGAACAATGTTGGAACTTTTAAACCAGCTTGATGGCTTTAGTTCTACTGCAGATATTAAAGTTATTGCAGCCACCAATCGAGTTGATATTTTGGATCCTGCACTTTTAAGATCAGGTATTGTTCATGTAATTATAATATGAATTATGAACTAATTAATTTTTCTTTTTAAGGTCGTCTCGATCGTAAAATAGAATTCCCACATCCAAATGAAGAGGCCAGAGCTAGAATAATGCAAATTCATTCACGAAAAATGACAGTAAGTCCCGATGTTAATTTTGAAGAATTGGCTCGTACAACTGACGATTTTAATGGAGCCCAATGTAAAGCGGTATGCGTTGAAGCAGGTATGATAGCACTGCGACGAAACGCCACTGTTGTAACCCATGAAGACTACATGGACGCGATAATGGAGGTACAAGCAAAGAAAAAGGCGAACCTAAATTATTACGCTTAAAATTAATAATTTTAAAGTCATTTTAAAAATCTCGATGTGTATGCAGATATCATAATTAATTAATGAATAGATTAATTTGCATTTTTCGCGATTACAATAGTTGTATTTGAATTTTAATTTAATAAAATAAAAATAAGAAGTTTCCTAAATAGCCTGCTATTTTTTTTATAATATATACATATTTTCAAAATAGGCAAATGTAGATAGAGCCTGAAATAACTGAATGTACCAATAATTGACAAAAGAATTTAAATATTTGATCGCTTTTGCGTATAACATTATAAAATGAATTAGATTATCTTACAATTTCGAACAAAAAAGTTTTATTGCCTCTTTAACCCTTGTGTGAAAATAAAGGCAATAACTTTGATAAGAACGGTATAAGTTAATATTTTATTAAAAATACATTAAATAACATGCATTAATTAAAATAAATTTAGGTATAGTTAGGGTTTCATTTGATGATAGAGGCTCCAAACACCAATGCCGAATTAAAAGAAACCGATATGCTCATTTAAAAAATCGATGAAAAATATGGTCTCACTATTTTCATTCAAGGCATTGGTGTAGCAATGGCCCTTTAAAAAATAATAGTACTGATTATAATAGTAACGACAATAAAAAGTCCAATTGGAAAGTAAAGGCTGCAATTAGCTGCCAAATACCATTATCACTTATATTAGGTACTAGAGTGTAACACACTTGAACGATAGCTAGTAGTACAGTAATAATTAATTGTTACAAGTGTTGTTATCACACAACGGTTACAAAAAACGTTGTAGAATTTTTGGAGCATTTCATAATAACGAGGGACGGGTCTTTTTTCCGTGGGTCGACGGGCTCGGAAAAATACAAAAGAAATTTTTTTGTGGACTTTCGAACCTACGGAATGAACATCGACTATCTATAAATATCGTGTACCATTACTAAATTACAAACTCATCCTTCCAAATTTAACATTACAAGACTACAACAAATGCTTCAGCTACTTATCAAATAGTATGTTATAAATAACTAATATCAGTCGGTTTACACATGAAAGAGACCAGAAATGTTTAACATACATTACAAAAAAATCTAATAACACTACATTATATACCCTTATGGAAAGTTGTTATAATTGAATTGTAAACTTAGCCAAGTTTTAGTTAAAGGAGAATTTGGCCATATTAAGAATTTCAACATAAATTTTTAAAATTCAACTGAACAAGTAACTTTTGTCCTCAGTCCTAGGACTTTTATTTATAGCAAATTTTAACCGAATAAGTAACTTCCGTCCTAGGACTTTTACTAATTCTTTAGGTGCTTTTTAAAATTATCCGCCAGTTTCATTTTCTTTTCTTTGGAAATTTTCGTTATATTTTAATAACCAAACAAACCACTTGCTATTTGGTCAGTAATTTGTTTCCAACTGTTTAAAGATATTCTTCCAAAAAAATAATCATTTTAAAATTGTTAACTGATCACCATGTAATTATCATAAATGATATTTTAAAGTTATTGCACTTTTTCCTCCTCCTTGAATAAAAACTTTTTAGCTACCATATTATTGTTAATTTTAAAAATATGAAACAAGAATAGGAATATCTTTATATTCATAA